CGACATTCACTTGAATCTCTTATAGTTTCCCAATAATCAACACATACTTTAAAGATAAAGATGACCAAACGTTTAAAACATGTGCACGTTCTAAGTCTTGAAGATCAATGCTTACATCCGTAAAAATAGTAGGAAGCGAATGATTGCGGAACATGATCAAGTGTGTTTATCTATTCTGATGAACTCATTTGGTCAGTCATCATATGAAAAGAAGATACGCTTGTGTGTTTAACCACAAGTAAAGCAAATCACAAAGGTCTTTGAATTTGTTTATGAGGAATGAGCAATTTATTTGATAGCTATTTAGTCTAACTCAGCATAGAACCTGACACGTATGTACATCGGTTCCAGTTACCATACCCCATTAGGACAGTGAGATGAAATTGTCAAGGCAAATCCCAGAGTAGCGAAGGTGGTAACAGAAGACACTAAGCATCGAAAGTAAGATCTAAAAAACATAAATTAGTTAAATAGAAACATTATAAGGAATTTAGAAACTTGGAGTCTAGGGGAAGGCTAAGTATGGACGCATTTACGCTCTAACAAAATATTCTGAGCCACATCACCCACTGGTTCAGACAATCACGCGGACCCCAACCAGGTAGTCTACATCTGTGCATTTCACATACAATTTACTCATTTTCTTATGGTATCCGTTTTAAAACCAAACTCACATATACACGACTTTAATTCTATAACGTATCTAACAGGATTACGAGGTTGATTAAATCATTGTACGAGATGGGTGGAACAAGGCTCGAACTTCCCACTAATGACTGAGAATCGATTTATTAAACCACTGAGCTCCCGAATAGTAATAAATAATCAATTCATGCAATACGATCAGTGCAACCGTGTAAACTGGTTTAGGGAAGTTAATATTTTTTGTTCCGTGATCTCTCTCTCTCTATATATATATATATGTATATATATATATATATATATATATATATATATATATATATATATATATATAAAGAACCCGAAATATCATTTCAATTATTGGTGAAAATTCAGTTAATTGAAAAGTTTGCGCATGAATAGTAACTAACAAACACAAAGTGCAACTTACTCTATCTAACAAACTGCCTACCACATTACACAGGACCCGAAACAATTCTTCATCTGCAAAGTCCTAAGGTTTTATCCATGTACATTTAATACTACCCACTTTTTTGTATGACTTTAGTAAATCATCAACTTGAAGATAAGCACTGTAAAGATCACGATCCTTTGGTATCTCTTGACGAAAACATACAATTGCAGGTTGAGTCAAATTCATAAGAAGACGAATGACCAGTTCAAATAATATTTTATTGCCGCTACAACAACGGAGAAGCGGTATGAGATCACTGGAAACAATGCGGAGTTGACCAAGTTCCCGTCGTATATCACATTCAGCAGTTTCATTTCGTAAGTAACGCAATAAAGTGCGAATGGAAACTATAACTGAATTCAATATCTTTCATAAATACCTTCTGCATCAGTATCTATCTTGTATGTATCGCCCTCACGAAATCCAAGACAAGAGCAACAGGCTTGAATATCCGCATAACGAAGAGTAGGATCAGCCAACATTACATAAAATCAAAAGCCAACCAAATCTAACAAAGTGGGGTTAGTGTTCGTCTTGTGATATAAAATATGGATTGCCCATAAATACACTGATATTAAACTACACCAATACCTGTGAGCAACTTAACCACGAAAGCCTGAAACAAAGTAGCTAACCTGAAACGAGAGTTTTCAAAATAAACCAGCTTGATACATTAAGTATGTGTAGGATCAGTGAGAGTATCAGCAACATGCAATTATAACCAAAGTGTATTTGAAAAGCTTTTTAAGTGCAAGCCGAACAATGACAAATATAATGGGAAGAGATAAGATGATTTGCAGTTCATAGGAGTTTGTGAGGTAACTAGAGAATAGCTTGAAAAACCTATCAGTAATTAACACTATGAGGATAGACAAACAAACGAATACTGCTACTTTTCTTCGGAATAAACTAAGAACCTCATTACCGGATACTTTCGGAGAAGCAGCACGGTTTCAGAATAGGTTACTCTTGTCTCACTAACTTATTAGTGGCTCGTGAAAACTGGTGCGCTCTTAAGGACCAAAAGTTACCTGTAGACGTAGCCTTCGTTGACTTCAGCAAAGCTTTTGACAAGGTTCCGCACAACCGGCTGTTATATAAGTTAAGAAATGTTGGGATTGGAGGCAATCTATTTATGTGGATAAAAGACTTCTTAGTTGGGCGTCAACAAAGAGTAAGGGTGAACTCAAAGTTATCTAGCTGGGAAACCGTGCTTAGTGGAGTGCCCCAGGGTACAGTTTTGGGGCCAATGCTATTCCTCTTGTATGTAAATGACCTTCCTCGTCTCCTATCATAATCGGTCTTGCTATATGCTGACGATGTCAAGATATGGAGAACGATACGATGTGAGGGTGATAGCTTAGAACTCCAAAGTGACCCGATCGAAGCTGCTACCTTGACGCGGTGGTCGGGGTTGCCTATCGTGATGACCCAACCGAGCAATATTGGCTGGAACATATGTTTCTGCAGGTTCTACCATGCCAGGCAGGTCGATTGGTGAACGGTAAGACTAAAAGCAGCAACTCATGGTCTGAGGGCGAAGTCGTACTGCTGACTGTAGAGAGGTGTGACAACAGTAAGATGTTTCCCTCGGACAACCAGCATGATAGCGATGCTGCCTTCCCACAAGGAAGGGTTGGGCTAAAAAAGATCGACCCTAAAAATGTCACACCTCACCTTACCTCACGGATTTCCGTCTCCGGTGGTAAGGCCCTTTGAAGAACGGAGCTAACACGTCAAAAACCTCCCACGAAAAGGCCGTGCGCGACCGGCCTCAAGCAGTTGTCCCTTGGGCTCTGCGGTCACGCTCCCAGGTCGTCAAGACCAACACTAATCCAATTTCCTTTTCAGGTTCCTCAAGAAATACTCTTCCACGGTGTGGGCAGCCGGGAAGTGACATCAGCCCTCATACCCGTAACAGCACAAGAGACCAAGGTGGTCACATTCAAATCCTTCCTACACCTCCTAATACCTCTCTTATCCTCCCGACTAACCCTCCTCACGTCTCTTTATCACCTCGCACCGCTAGGGCAAACGATTCGAGTACGTGGAACGCCATTCCTGGTCTCCTGAAACCACGCTCTAAACTACACGTAGGAGCTTTTAACGTACGAACACTTTGTCAAATAGGACAGCAGGCTTCCTTAGCTAAAACTTTAGAATCTCGCGCCATCGATGTGTGCTGCGTCTCCGAAACGCGCATACAGGATCCAAGTAGCGTCATTCATTTGACCTCACCATGCCAAAATAAAGAACCGACTCGATTTACGCTTCGTGTATCTGGAAGCCCTGATTCTGCTTCCCGTGGCCTCGCCGGCGTAGGTATAGCATTGAGTCCTAGGGCAGAACTAGCTCTCTTAGAGTGGATCCCAGTAAACAGTCGTTTGTGCGCTGTCCGACTGAACGGAACAGTAAGAATCCGGAAAGATAGGGACACTCGTCGTTGCCTCTTCGTCGTCTCTGCCTATTCTCCCACTGACTGCAGCTCAGATGATGTAAAAGATGAGTTTTACAGAAAGCTTTCGGACCTTCTCCGAAAAGCTAAGCGCTCGGATGTAGTAATAGTGGCCGGTGACTTTAATGCTCAAGTAGGTAAACTAAGCGATAAGGAAAGACACCTAGGTGGATCCTATGGTGTCGTGGCTCAAAGAACAGATAATGGCGACCGTCTGTTGCAGCTGTGCTCAGATAACCGCCTGTTCCTTGCAAATACTAACTTTAAGCATAAGGAAAAACATCTTTTAACATGGCGACCCCCTAATTCGTCCCAACGTTGGACCCAAATAGATCACATCGCTATCAGCCACCGATGGAGGGGCTCGATAGAAGACTGTCGCTCATTCTGGAGCACATGCCTAGATTCAGATCATGCTCTAGTGCGAGCGCGTATTTGCTTGCGTCTTACTGGACGTAGGAAAGATGCTGCAAGGAAACCTCTTAGGGGCCTACTTATTGATAGTCAAGCTAAGAGTATATTTCAGGAACAACTAGGAAAACAGTTAGGCAGCCATGTATGTGATGCCCACCCCGAGGCAGCATGGAATGATATCCGAAAAGCTGTGGAAACAGCAGTGATATCTGCTAGTAAGGTAAATCAGAAGCTTAGGGAGCAACACTGGATCTCAGCAGCATCTATCTCACTGATAGATGCTCGGAAACTCATTCCACCTGGCTCTGAACATAATGAAGAGCGGAGTCAGCTTAAGCGCAAGCTGACAGGAAGTCTACGCAATGATTGCGAACAGTGGTGGGTAGCGAAAGCAAGAGAGATGGAAAAGGCAGCGGCAATAGGTAATAGCAGACAATTGTTTAGACTCGTTAAGGAAACCGGAATTAGGAACCCGACCGTTAGCGAAACAATCTCAGAGAAAGATGGACATATTATTCATTCTCAATCCAGGAGATTGGATCGATGGGCAGAACATTTTAGGGATCAGTTCAACTGGCCTTCAGCCACACTTCGGTTTCCCACGATCTCTAGTCAACCTGAATGGCAAGTTAATGTAGGTCCTCCGTCCCTTTACGAAGTTGAAAAAGCCATAGGAAATCTGAAACGAGGGAGAGCAGCAGGCCCTGACAGGTTTACTCCTGAGATTTTTAAGGATGGTGGTCCAGTATTAGCAATGAGATTAACTGAGGTCTTAGGTAGAATTTGGGAACTGGACGTAATCCCATCTGACTGGTCTCAATCACTGATTGTGCCAGTCTATAAGAAAGGACAAAAGTCCTCTTGTAACAATCACAGAGGAATCAGTTTGACTAATATAGTGTCTAAAATATTAGCCTCAATAATACTTCGACGCCTAACTAAAGCTCGTGAAGAGCAGACTAGAGAAAACCAGGCTGGTTTTCGAACTGGACGTGGTTGTATAGACCAGATATTCACACTACGTCAGGTTCTAGAACAGAGACACACATTCAGACGCCCCACAATGGTAGTATTTCTCGACCTTAAGGCGGCACTTGACTCTGTTGATCGTGAGGTTCTATGGCAGTGTTTGTCACTGAAAGGAGTACCAAAGAAGTACATTAACCTTATAAAGGCTCTCTACTCGAACACAACTGGTAGAGTAAGAGCTTATGGCGAACTGTCATCAGAATTGATTCAGTCAGTCAGTCAGCTACAACGTAGGACCAGGCACATATGTGCATCGGTCCAGGTTGCCATACCTCATTAGCACAACAAGATGAACACCGGATTCATAGGAGTGGTTAGGTCAATGGTTGCAATAAGGATATAGTATAGGAAGGAAGAATTAGTTCGTTCATCAGAATTGATTACCTCAAGTGGTGTTCGTCAGGGCTGTCCACTCTCCCCATTCTTGTTCAACTTTGTCATTGACGTACTTTTAGAGATAACACTCTCCTCATCTAAATTTACAGGGGTTGAACTTCTACCAGGAGGTTCACTTGTTGACTTAGAATATGCAGATGACATAGTTTTATTTGGTGAAGACGCTGACAAAATGTAGAGTCTTCTGACCACTCTAAGCAACAATGCAAGCATGTTCGGGATGCGATTCTCTCCCTCGAAATGCAAAACGTTGCTTCAGGATTGGGTTACATCGACACTCGAACTAGTGATAGGGAGTGAAGTAGTTGAGTGTGTCGACCGCTTCACTTATCTTGGAAGTCTCATCAGCCCTTGTGGTTTAGTGTGTGACGAAATCTCAGCACGGATACAGAAGGCTCGACTAGCTTTTGCCAACCTGCGTCATTTATGGCGTAGGCGAGATATCCGTCTATCAACCAAAGGACGTGTTTACTGTGCAGCAGTTCGTTCCGTCCTACTTTATGGCAGTGAAACATGGCCGGTAAGAGTAGAGGATATCCGTAGGCTACTAGTATTTGATCATAGGTGTCTTCGAAACATTGCTCGTATATCATGGGACCATCGAGTAAGTAACACAGTTGTTAGGAAACGGGTATTAGGTAAGGATGGCAAATCAATTGATGAAGTAGTGAAACTTCATCAGTTGAGATGGCTGGGACACATGTTACGTATGCCCAACGACCGACTACCTCGACGTGCTATGTTCAGTGGTATAGGAGTAGGTTGGAAGAAAGCTGGGGGCGGCCAAACCAAAACATGGCACAAGTCCATGAAGTCACTGACAAGTGAACTGAGTCATGTTGGTAGGTGTAGACTACCTGGTTGGGGACCGCGAGATGATAGCAACCGATGGTTAGAGACCCTGAATGACATGGCTCAAAATCGTTTGCAATGGCGCAGGTGCATCCACTCTGTGTTCTCCCAAATTCTAATCTTCTGAATTCTTCATGTCCCTTTTTTCCTCTTTCCAAATTTATTTCACTGGATTATACTCTTTAAATAACATCTCCAAACCCTAATCTTCCCGATTAGTGCTTATACTCTTATTACCTCTACCACTACGGGATTTGAATCGACAACTGCATCTCTGTGCTAATGTGGTGTGGCAACTTGAACTGATGTACGTACGTACGTACGAAGTTCTACGTTGTTACTGACTGGCCAAATTATCTGAATGATCTCAAACCTGGCAGTTGCCGATAAATACTTCCAAGTGTGTTGTGATGCATATAGGTCATCAAGGTACAGATACATACACGATGAATAACACTGAGATACCTGTCGTCCAGACATATAATGACTTAGAAGTTATCGTTAGTCAAGACTTAAAGACTACTGCACACTGCTGTGCAATAGCCGCCAAGGGTTTTAGAACGTTATGGTCAATACGTAGGGCTTTTAGTCATGTCGACGCTAAGACGTTTTTGACTTTGTATACAGTGTTCTCACGTCCTAAATTTGAGTACTGCATACAAGCGACCAACCCCTGCTTAAAAAAAGACAGTGAGCTTCTGGAAAAGGTTCAGAGAACGGCAACTAAGTTGATTCCCGGAATAGCGAAGCTTCCGTATGAATCTCGATTGGCCAAGCTGAACCTTTTCCCGTTGTCATATCGCAGAACTAGAGGCGACCTGATTACAGTTTTCAAATTGCTTAGTGCCAAATTCGCACCTGATATGCCCTCATTTTTCCTGTCTTCCAAAACAGAGAATTTACGAGGGCACTACAAAAAAGTTCAAAAGCCAAGAACAAATTACTTGTCAGCTGACTATCGACATTCCCATAGAATCATCAACGAGTGGAACTCATTACCTCAGCACGTGGTTGAGGCTCCATCCGTCGATTCTTTCAAAAGAAAGTTGGATCAACTGAGGGACCACCATTGCCAGGACTAACACAGGCCATCAGGCCTCCTGTCCTTCCCAAACTGAAACTGATTAGGTAAAAACAACTGAGTCACTTAAAACTACACCCATGTGACTACGAAACAGAGATTTCGTTACATATGTATTGAACAACCTGATAAGCCTATCATAAATAAAAGTCACAGCTGATTTCATAAATGAATGGTGTGTATCTTTTGCAGACCTACACAGATAACTGATATTTACAGCAGTGAATGTGTTATGAAGAACACCTTCATAACAGCCAAAACAGGCATATAAATCTGATCTTTGTGACGCGAACCAGCCAGTGAAAAATGAATCAAAGTATAAGTAACCAGAACCATACCTAGAATCCAGTTCACTAACCAACAATACATAACCCGGTCATTGAGTGGAAGTACAGTGTGAGACCGGTGAATCGGCAATCATCGTATATTCTTTTGTTGATTAGCAATGAATATTATGTTGCAAGAACTAATTTGATTTATTATCTCGTTAGGGCATGAACGTAATCAATATTTAAATAATGAGAACGGTCTCAGCCTTCAGATTAAGCAATATATATTAGTTTACATAGAACACTTAATCGAGTGTTTGCAAATCGTAGAATGAAAATAAGGATGACTTATAAACTAAACAGAAGCAAACCAGAAAAAAAACATACGTAGTGTGCAATTTCAATTACACCTACACAAGCACAGAAAGTCAACAATCCTCGAAACTGCCGCCTTGAGTTAGTGGTATAAACTACCGATCGATTCCATCACAAAAATATTGGCCAGTGAAGAGCCACCTTGAAGGAATGTTAAATTTTTCAAGGTTGAGTAAATGTGTGGCAGGACGGCTTGGTAACATGTAGTTTTAGTTTGAATTACATTTAGTGCTTTGGAACCGAGCACGATATGTGCCAAATGTCAGCTTAATCTTCGTAACAACAAAGAAATAGGGCAACCTAACTGGCACAATGCTCCTGGTGGTCAAAAGTATAATCCGTCATATAATATATCTCCAGGATCATTCACGTATGTTTGTTCCTCGCTTAACATTCTCAAAGCTAATATGATGAGGTTTGGGTTTACTGTGCATATTTTGGATGAATTTATCGCTGTCTAACTCATATATTACAATTCGTATCATTTATTAAAATAGCTTGCATTGATATTATATCGCGGATATCTGCACTGTAAGGAGGACACATCCTTTAGAAGCTAATGATAACTTTAGTTAGCTGTATGGCGGTATTCAGTGAAGCTCTGTTGGTTTAATGATAGTGATTAGTTCTATGAAGATTCGTATATGTATTCACATCTGATTCTCTACATCATGATGTTTTATGAGAGAATTCGGTCAAACTTCCAGCAAATATTGTGAAGTTGTCATAAAGTTCTACACAAGCCTGTGAGAAACTATGCTTAAGTAACATTTTATTCAGGTACATAAAGTAATCGTTTTATCTCTAAAAATTTGTACGCGAATATGTCCCCTAAAAATTCCAGACAAATTTTCCCTGTAAGAATATTTTTCATAGAAATTTATCTGAAAAGGCCTCTTTTTAAAAACTTCGATGAAGGTCTATTTTTCTTCCAGGATTATCCATCCACATTAACTTAAGATCTTGTGTATACCGTTATATTTTGGTAGTATAACAATTACCAGAAACTATGCAACAATATGAATCTCGTTGTCTTCAACGTAACGAAAAATACTCCTATTAAAGAGATTAGTCAAAATAAACTGACTGTTACTCATAATAAACAATGTTAACCCATCAGTTACACATGAGCAAGTGCGGAAGTAAATGTTAAGGCTTCCGTATTTGATTCTGTGGTACTCTAAACAGGAAAGCATAAAGATGGTTCAAGTAGTTGTGAAGGGAGCCGAACATCTTTAAATTTCATGAAAAGTAATAGCTACAATATACAATGACATGGTGCAATAAAAAACTGACATCTGTATTGTTAGCATCGTTACGTTTTTGAAAAAATGTCTCACATTTATGTGTGGGTAATAGTATATGTATAACATTAAAAATACACTATTATACTCACTATGTTTACTTCTAAAATCTCGTCTGTTTAATCTGTCCATCTAGTCGTGGAAAGATATTTGTTTTGTAGAATGTGAAATCTTTTCAAGATTCCTTTCTTTCAAATTTTGACTGGCTAGTGTGGATGTTAGTGTACGTCAAACTTAGCACTTGTTCCTAGAAGTGTGAATTCCGCCGCATGTTTGTGCTTCATTATGAAGAATACTACATGTTTTTAAGGTTTCCTGGCATAGTTGTTCATTTTAATCGGTCGTTGTTTCATGAGATTCGAGTTTAGATAATCAGCCACACTGCAATAGGCTAACATATTTGCAAATTGTATTTCCATACTGCCGCATATATTAAAATGACAATGATTTGTATAGCTAAGAAACAGTTTAATAGATTGTTGCTAGTATCAAAGCTGATGTTTGGATTTTTAGAGCTCACCAAACGATAAGTGGTTGGATATAGTTCTCTGCATTTATCATAGTCATCTCCAAGGAAATCATGATATGAAACTATAACCTACCTCAATGTTCTGTCATTTTACACTTAGTTAGACACCAGTTGTCATATGAACCATTGTTCAAATTACTTGCTGTTCGTTAAAAATACAGCTGTTCATTCGTGAACGACTTAATACAGACTACCATCAACGTGTTACTTTGATGGAGTTTGACTGACAACCATCCTCACACAAAAATACTATTTCATATTTTTTAATTTTATTTAGACCAGTTCTAGTTTCAAACCAGTTCACTGATACAAAGGATAAAGGCCATTCACTTCAGGTGATGCGTTGGGGTTTAATACCTGCGTTTATTCATGGGGACTCGACTTCCACTTTTCACACATTCAACGCTCGTATCGAATCATTATTAGATAAACGCTCTTACAAGTGTTCACTGCAAGAAGGCAAACGATGCGTAGTTGTGGTTCAAGGGTAAGTCATATCCCATCATCCCTGCCACTAATACTGATTAACTTAAAGTTTAGCTAAAAACGGTAGAACTCTGTAAATACGTATTAATTGGTACAATAGGCTGTAAGATATGCTATCAAGAAGGTTAACTGTGATGTATTTACCCGTAATTTGTTGGATAGTTTGAAACAGTCAAATCGTCAGTTGTCAATTGTCCGAGCCATCTAACCACCCCTCTATTTTGATAGAAGGATACGTCTTTAGAAGGTCAAATCGCATAGTCTGAATTAGTCATCGCTTGTATATCAGTTGCATTTACTCAAGATTTTTTTTACGAATTACTGCCTGCCACGCAATAACGATGTATATAAAATATAAGCATACCTGTGATTAAATTTATAGAGAACGGACCAACGTTTTTTCTGTCATGAGAAATTCAGTTTATGGGTTTCAAAACGAAAAATGATGATCAGAACCAACGATTCCTATTTTGATTGGTTGCTACTAAAGAACTAAACAAAAACTTGGAATTCTGTTAGTTTAATATTTTCATATTAGAACTATTAATCAAATCTAATTAGCTTTTACGTATCAGAAATAAAGTGATTCATATATATATATATATATATATATATATATATATAGTGAGATAGAAAACCTAATTAGGCAGTTAGTAGGATGAAATACTGCATTCAGACGATAGCTGGTCAGGTACTTTGTAGTTTAGATAGATTTAAGCTATGGCAGTTGAATCTGTCTGTCATACTTGTAAAACAAGAACCCGTTATTTGGGAAGGTATTTAGTCATAGTCATAATCAATCTGCTTTCCGCCATTACTTCGATATATCTCATTCCTTCACGCTTATTTAGTAATTTTTATCTATTTCAATATCACATATAATTTGTTCCTCAATTTTCACAACTTCTGTAATTATTTTCCAAAATGTAGCCACACTACTTTAATTTGTTTATTTACAAGTCAGGATAATCGTTTATTCACCCCAACTGAAAATAGGAAACTGTTCATTGTTAAATTATACTCATACACCTATTTTTTTCGATAAGGAAATATTTAATTGTTATAAAGATACTGGCCCTAAATTACAGACTCCACACTGTCTGGTCATTGTATATGTTCACAACTACCTGCTAAGGTGATTAAGCGATTACTCAATTTTTATTGATAATGCTGAAGTCTTATTGGTAACGGAAACCGCAAGTGCTTTTTCTCCTCTTCCGATATTTGGTGTGACTCTTGCCCTTTTTCGGTTGGTTGCTTCTACGTTTAGTTCGCCATGCTTTAGTCACTATAAACTAAATTGTACTCCTTCAATTTGTTTTGCCTGAATACCAAGTTTTTCCCATACTTCCCGTATTAATGGCTAATTTTTGAAGTATTGTGTGCCAGCTACCATCATCGGGTCCGCAATAAAACCTTCTGTATTAGAATGGACCAATCATTCAAATCGCAATTATCGTGAACCAACCGGAAATCATTATTATAAATATTTAAAACATGGTATATCAGCATAATGCTGTCTGACTTCCAGTTATTACAATCTGTTTCCTTTGGTAATGCAACTTCTCGTCTAAAAGTCTTTAACTCGGTTCTGCTCTTACACTAAAATTATGGCTCATCGATTATCTTATTGTTGTGTTAACTAAGCATTTCAATCATCTTCCTGTCTAAAGCATCACCTGGATTACGTGGAGATGAAAAGTAAGTTTTAAGGAAACCGCCCCCAAATGCCCTGGTACGGCCGAGAGTGGGGAGAGTCCGCTCTCCCTCTCGAAATGCTCTCACACGGCCACGCGTATATAGCTTCTGCCAGAGAAGTCCTACTCACTGCCTTCTCGTGGCGGGGGTGTTGTTCACGAAAATGGGAGGACGAAAAGCGAATGTCTGGCACCGGATTCCAAACCAATGGCGCACATGGGCTCCAGTATCCTGCGGGAACAAGTGGCGTATGAACCAATCGTTGGTCACCGGCTACCATGGGACTGCATCTCCTTACGATGTTCCACTGCCTTGTGGATCAGACCTTCTGGTCGAAGGCTCGGGGTGTGCCCCCCTAAGAAAACCACCTGTTTCGGTCTGGGCATCCGGGCAGTAATACAGCCCTCACACATATCGAATGAGATTTGTGTGGCGCATATGTATTTGGTGCCTCCTTGTACCAATATCAATGTGTTAAAATAAATAATTTAAGGAAACAAGTAAATATCTAGTGATCAACCATAAAATTTACAATAATCTGTGACATCATCTAAGGCTTTTTTGACCCCCATTTCAGAGTTTATGAATTTATATTGTATACCTTTCATGAACAATACAGACTAAAACTACTTATAGCTAGTTCTGTTAACCAGAAGTCACTTATTTTCTTTTTCATATTTTAGAAAGGCTTTATTCATAATTTTATTATTTGTAAATAAAATGTGCTAACGTTATAATTGTTTTAATCACTTACTTACCTCTATCCTATCTAAATTCAACTCTTATTACATAGAACTATCAATTCTTTTCAGATTTTATGAATGGAAAATTGGAATCAAGAAAAAACAACCATTTTATTTTTGTCCTTCAGGTAATCATACTAATATTTTTTACATCTCTACTTATGCTTGAAGATCCTGACAAATTGCTTATGATGGCAGGTTTGTTTGCTCATAATTATGAGAAACAGGTAATTACTCGATGTGTTAAACTTGTTTGTGTAGATGTATTCATATACCATAATAACCACAAGTTCAAAGGGCATCATGGCAGATGTGCATTCAAGAATGCCTGTATGTTTCATACTACATCATAATTCTGTAATTTTACTCTGATTAAAGATCATTTTAGATAACGATGATGATATTTGTGAGTGGCTGGATCCCGCTGAATCCAATTATAAACAAGTATAGTTCAACAAAATTAGGATTTCTATACTTTTCAGTCTTATTTTTTAAATGGATAAAATAATGACCGTTACTTTCATTCTTTTGTGTATATTGTTGTGTAGTGTGTTAAACTAAAGGATATTTTTTAAGAACTGAAGTTAACTTTATGAAATCAGTTTTATCCTAAAGATTATTGAAACGATTGCTTTTGCCACTCTTGAGTTTTAATTTGATGTAGGTGGCCAAAATTTAAGAAGAAACACTAAAACTGATAATCGTAAACAGTCATTAAGACAATACTTAAGCAACGTTGTTTGATCTTCGATTATATAACTTTTAGTCGCTACAGAAACTACATTCTGAATCCGGTGTTTTTTTAGAACATTTAACTTCAGAAGCTGAAAACATCCTTCTACAACTATCAGTTTAGAATTTCTTTTAAAACAAATTACCTAATCACTCAAAAATTTGTCTAGATAACTAAGCTACCGGTAATAAAAAGAGGGCGGTATTAGGAATTGAAAAACAGAAACCTTTTATTGGTCAGTGCTTTACATTGATGTACTCTCAAACCGTCTAATAATCTCAAGTTCGTTGACATATTGTATAGAACTGAGTTTAAATTAGTCAAAAATGTGAAGTGTTCGGCATTCATTTCCATTGAATCTATAAGTCGTATATACGAAGGAAAAGCGATATAAATTTAACTACCACTTTCGAAGTATTTGAACTCAAGAGTTTTCACCACTTGAATATCTTATTCTCATAAGATATACAGTGTAACATTTTACTTATTGCAGTGTTATAACTTTCACTAATTGGAACAGATTATAACATTCTAATCACTCAGTGTTTAATAAAGCTATTACTGTTACAGTTATCACCCCAATAGCTTGGTTGGTGGGTATTTGATTAGTTTGCTCTTATTCTTAAACCTGTCGGCAAGTTTGTTAGTTCCTATCGACTGAGAAAGTGATATTTTCCTTGTAATCAATTCAGTTTATTATTGATTATGATGACAATCAGCTAGAGAATTTCCGAAAACCAAAGGAATCTAAAAAGCTCTTTGATCCTAGTTTAAAACTCTTCAATAATGCGCGCCTACGTTTTGAGCTAGTGTGAACAAATTAATCGAATGAATAGATGATTCACTACATTCGTTAAATATCCTAAATATTTATTAGCAAACTGTAACTCATAAATATCTACACAAAACTTTGTATGACTGCTAGAGATGACGCAGCTACCCAACGATCCTTAGTTATCAGTCTGTCATCGTAATAATTGTTATTATACTTAGCCAATTCATACATAAAAAGCATAGTTGGATTCTGTCTCAATTGAAGTGAGTCAAGAAGTTTATTTCTCTTAAATGGCCTTGTGGGTAGATCTTTGATCACGTAATATCAAATTACTATGATTTCTATACTTTAAATATGAAGATAGAATCATGTTTACGGAAAACAATTCAACTACTAATCATGCTAAAGAACGCATTCTTTCTTATGTTTCCCCATTCTATTGCAAAAATCTCTTTTGTGATTAGCTTCCACGTAATGAATAAGTAAACTATAATTTCAGGCATATCAATTTCTCACCGATCTTGCAGACAATCTGGACAATGTGTCTGTCATTAAATATCCCGTTACATCTCAGGTCAACAATTCCACGTATAACGAGCCTAACTGTATTAAACCGATTAGTGAAGAAGAAGAACACAAGTGAGTTAAAATATTTTAAAAATATGTATACACATGAAGGAGTTCCAGTGCTATATTACTATTAACTCACTTCACTATTTTTGAATACTTTGTAATCGATTATTCTTGTTGGGACAAGTAATCTTACTTTTTGTTAGTAGCTAACAGATGACCTATTTTGATGATGTCATCTAAGAATCGTCTAAAATTTATTTATTTTCGCGGTTATGAAGGATTTTACTCGTCTCACGCGGGAAAAAGCATAAAGGTCACTCTCAACAACATAATTTCGTTACAATTTAAGGGTTCCGTATAACGTGCCCCTTCACTGTTGACAGTAATCAGCATTATTGATAATACTTCATGAAGCGTACAGCTAAGCTAAGTTGAAAAAACTGCAATCCAAAATAAGATGTTTTTTACATGATCTATAAGGTTTAGTTCTGAGGTCGGACAGAAGTCTGGCACATAGGGCTGTTATCTTTCCAAAATTATACAAACTAGCATACTTGCCTAAATGATCAATTTAAGCATTTCTGCCATATATATATACGCAAGCAGTGTGAAATAGAATTTTTACTAAACACATTTTCGTTGTATTTCACAAAGTCAATAACTTAGTCAGTCAGTCAGTCAGCTACAACGTAGGACCAGGCACATATATGCATCGGTCCAGGTTGCCATACCTCATTAGCACAACAAGATGAACACCGGATTCATAGAAGTAGTTAATCCAGTGGTGGTAATATATAGGAGAAAGATTGTATATAAGGATATAGTATAGAAGGAAAGAATTAGTTAGTAGAAAGAAAGATATGAAGTGATTTTAATCTCTTAGTTTAAGGGAAGACAGGGAGTGTATACACCGACGCCATTGTGATCGATTCCGAGCCATGTCACCAAGAGTCTCCAACCATTGGTTACGATAGTCACGCGGACCCCAACCAAGTAGTCTGCATCTACCAACATGGCTCAGACTAGAGGTTAGTGTCTTCAAGCACTGATGCCACGTTTTGGTTTGGCCGCCCCTAACTTTCTTCCAACCATCCCCTACACCGGCTAGCATTGCACGTCGTGGTAATCGGTGTTCAGGCATACGTAACACGTGACCCAACCATCTCAGTAGATGAAGATTAACAACCTCATCAACTGATTTACCATCATCCCCTAATACCCTGCGTCTAACCTCACTATTACTTACCCGATGATCCCAGCAGACGCCAGCAATATTTCTAAGGCATCTGTGGTCAAATACTAGTAGCTTACGAGTGTCTTCTATTCTTAAAGGCCATGTTTCGCTGCCGTAAAGTAAACCAGAATGGACTGCCGCGCAGCATACTCGTCCTTTTATTGATAGACGGATATCTCGCCTTCGCCATAGGTGACGTAAGTTGGCAAAAGCCAAACGAGCTTTTCGAATCCGTGCTGAGATTTCGTCAGACACCAACCCATCAGGGTTGATCAGACTTCCAAGATAAGTGAAGTTGTCAACGAGTTCGACTACTTCACTCCCTATCCTTAGTTCAGGTGTTGACGCAGGCCAGTCCTAAAGCAACAACTTGCATTTAGAAGGAGAGAAGCGCATTCCAAACATCCTGGCATTCTTACTCAGTGTTATCAAAAGACTGCATTTTATCAGTATCTTCACCAAAAAGGACTATATCATCTGCGTATTCTAAGTCGATAAGTAGACCTCCTGGTGGAAGGAGATCAATACCCGAGAATTCAGTCGACAAGAATGTAATTTCCATCAGTAGGTCTGTGATGAAGTTGATTAAAAATAGAGAAAGTGGATAGCCTCGACGGACACCACTTGAGATTGCAAAAGTAGATGACAGTTCGCCATGAGCCCTGACTCGACTAGTAGTGTTCGAGTAAAGAGCCTTCACAAGGTTTATGTACTTCTGAGGTACGCCTTTCAATGACAGACACTGCCACAGAATCTCGCGGTCTACCGAGTCAAATGCTGCTTTTAAGTCAAGAAAGACCACCATTGTCGGACGCCGATAAGTATGCCTGTGTTCTAGAACCTGACGAATGGTGAATATGTGGTCGATGCAGCCACGACCAGGTCTGAAACCAGCTTGATTCTCTCGTGTTTGCAGTTCACGAGTCTTAGTTAGGCGTCTGATAATTATCGAGGCTAGTATTTTAGATATTATATTAGTTAAACTAATCCCTCTGTGGTTGTCACAGGATGATTTTGACCCTTTCTTATATATTGGGACGATAAGTGATTGCGACCAGTTAGATGGGATAACGTCTAACCCCCAGATCTTAGCTAAAATATTAGTCAACCTAATCGCTAAAATTGAACCGCCATCCTTAAAGACCTCTGAAGCCAATCCAGCTGGACCATCTGCCCTTCCTCGTTTCAGATTAACTATAGTCTTTTGAACTTCTGCTAGATTTGGGGGACCTACTTCAATGTTCCATTCACACTGTCTGGGAATGGAGGGTAGTTATAGAGTAGCTGAAGGCCAGTTGAACTGTTCTCTAAAATGTTCCGCCCATCGTTCTAAACGTCTGGACTGAGAGCAGATGAGAGTATCGTCTTTTTCCGATATAATCTCACTTACACTTGACTTATTAATTCCAGTTTCTTTTATTAGTCTGTAAAGCTGTCTTGTGTTCCCTATAGTCGCCGCCTTTTCCATCTCTTTTGCTTTCGTTACCCACCACTGCTCACGGTCGTTCCTTAGACTTTTTCTTAACCTAGATCTAATTTGTTGTCGCTCTTCATCATGTTCGGAACCTGATGGGACGAGTTTACGAGAATCCATCAGTGTCATAGACCTTGAAGAAATCCACTGGTTCTTTGTAACTCTGTGGTTTAAATCACTGACAGATGTCATTGCTGTTTCCACAGCTGTTTGTATATCTTTCCAAGCAACATCTGGGTCAGCCTCATTTTCAGAACTACCTAAGTGTGACCTCAGTTGTTCCTGGATCCTACTTTTGGTTTTCTCGTTACTCAACTCAGTTCTATTGGGTCTTTTTACTGTGGCTTTTTTGCGTCCAGCGAGGCGCAAGCAGATGCGTGCCCGTATTGGGGCGTGGTCGGAGGTACTCCAAGCAGGTACTCCAGAATGGGCGACAATCTCCTACCGACCCTCTCCAACGATGACTGATGGCAATATGGTCTATTTGAGTCCATCGTTGGTTTAGTGTAGGGGGTTGCCATGTTAGACGATGTCTCTCCTTATGCTTAAAATTTGTGTTTGCTAAAAATAAGCGATTGTCTGAGCACAGTTGCAGCAGACGAACACCATTATCTGTTCGCTGTGCCGGAATACTAAAATATCCACCTAAATGCCTTTCTGTTTGGTTTAAGCTACCTATCTGAGCATTAAAATGGCCCCCCTTCGAGTACTATGTCTGAGCGTTTAGCTTTCTGAAGAAGTTCAGAAAGCTTTCTGTAAAATTCATCTTTCACATCATCTGAGCTGCAATCAGTGGGAGCGTAGGCAGAAACGACGAAAAGGCAACGACGTGTATCCCTATCCTTCCGAATTCTTACGGAGCCGTCTAACCGAACAGTACATAGACGACTGTTGACGGGAATCCACTCTAACAGTGCTTGTTCCGCCCTCGTGCTTAATGCTATGCCTACACCTGCCAGTCCACGAGAACTGGCCATCGGGTCACCAGATATACGGAGGGTGTATCTCGTTGGCTCTCCGTTTTGCCGAGGTGAGGTCAAGTGAATGACCACACTGGGATCCTGTGTGCGTGTTTTGGAGACAGCATACATCAATGATACGAGATTCTAGGGTCCTAGCTAAGGAAGCCTGTTAACCGATTTGACATAGGATGCGTACGTTGAGGGGTCCAATATGTAGTTTGGAGCGAGGTTTCAGTAGACCTGGGACAGTGTTTTGAGCACTAGAATCGTTGGCTATGGTGACACTTGAGGGGGAAGCCGATAAAGGAAGTTTAGAAGTGAGAGTTGATGTAGGAGGAATAATAGGAAGTGAAGACGGAGGTTGATTATGAATACAGTGGTCTTGAGTGCTGGTAGAGGTATGAGGGCGGTTATCACTTCCCGGTTGCCCACACCGTGGAAGGGTTGTTCTGGAGGTACCTGAAAAGGAAATTGGATTAGAGGTGGTCCTAATGACCTGGGAGCGTGACTGCGGTGCCCAAGGAACAACTGCTTGAGGTCGGTCAAACACGACCTTTTTATGGGTAATTTTCGTGTTAGCTCCGTACTTGTTGAGACCTTACCGCCGGAGACGGATATCCGTGGGTAAGGCGAGGTGTGCATTTTTAGGGCCGACTGTTTCTAACCCCACCCCTCCTTGTGGGAAAGCAGCATCGCTGTCATGCTGGTTGTCTGAAGGAAACACCTTACTGCTGTCACACCTCTGTACAGTCAGCAGTACAACTTCGCCTTCGGACCTTGGGTTTAACTTGAAGCTCTTTTGAAATTGGTCTATGGTTGTAAATAGAAGAAAGGCAGTTGATTCTTCAGTAGGTAAGCAGAAGTATTATCGTAATATTCAAACTATTGTTATTATTGTTGTTGCAGTCAACATTAATTATTCAATTTTTCAGAAAAGTAATTCCCTTTCTATTTCGTTGAGTTAATTCTGATATTTTTTTCCTATCAGAAATAACCACTGACTACCCCGACGTGCGATATTTTATGGTGTGGGTGTAGGTTGGAAGAAAGCCAGGGGCGGCCAGACTAAAACATGGCACAAATTCATGAAGTCACTGACAAGTGGGCTGAGCCACGTTGATAGGTGTAGTCTACCTGGTTGGGGTCCGCTAGATGACAACAACCGATGGTTAGACCCTGAATGACATGGCTCAAAATCGTTTTCAATGGCGCAGGTGTACCCACTCTTTGCGTTCTCCCGAATTTTAATCTTCCGAGCTCTTCATGTCCCTTTTTTCTCTTTCCAAATTTATTTCACTGGATTATACTCCTTGAATAATACCTTCAAACCCTAATTTTCCCGATTACTGCTTATAATCTTACCTCTACCACTACGGGATTCGAATCGACAACTGCATCTCTGTGCTAATGTGGTGTGGCAACTCGAACTGATGTACGTGCGCACGAAGTTCTACGTTGTTACTGACTGACTGATCAGAAATAAAACAACAAATTTAATTCAGTGTGATTTTTTCTTTTATTTTCCACTTCTTATTTTACAGGAAAATGACTAAATCTTATGGTAGCTCAAATATAATGATGCAATTTCTTAAGCGTTCAAATAAAGATAGTACTTGTGATCAAACAAATCCTGGCAACAATTCTAGTTATGATGTTTCACACAAAAATATTGATGCAATAAAAAAAGAGGAAGCAAATCAATAGAATATACATATACATTTATATTTCCTTTATTTTTAATCAATAGAATTTTCTCATTACTAAGCATTTATTAAATTTCAGATTAAAATTTTGGCACATAATATAATATAAATAATCTTGTTTTCGAAAAGAAAAGTTATTTTAAAAGAAAAAAGCAAACAGATGAATATATTATTAGTCCGATACAAAAGTTATTGTTTCTCTTCATCATTCAGTTCATTTGTTGGAGTTGGTGGATCAGTAAATTCATCGTCATCATCACTACCATTATTATTGTTTACAAGTTCAGTTAGTTCATTTTTTTGCGTCGCCGACATCGCACTGCGAGCATTATATATGTGGCGCTTTAATTGACGACCAATAGTTGAACGTAAATTTGATGGTCCTAAGCGGCTAGTATTATCTCTTACCTAATGACGCAAAAATCAAGAAAGAATTGAAGATAATTGACAATTCTATAATTTGTTCTTGTGTTACTAGTATAAAATTGTTTCAACAGACTTGATTAGTATAGGATAAAAGCTATGAAACTTACAAAAAGAGATCAAGTACACAGTCGAAATAATCGATTGATTATAATTCTGTGAACAGATAGAATGTTTTAAAGCCTAAAAAGAATCGACCTGCGATAAGTAGACCCAACTTTATTGAGGGTCCTGGTAGACTAAATACTAACACATAGGTACTGTAGACAAAAAAGTTACTCTTTGATATGTAATCAGTCAGAAAACAGATCTTATCTGCGATGTATTTTGGGATCATGTGTCCCTCAAAAATAAGAATAATTGATAATTTTTCTACAATTTGGCGACTGACAACAGATTATAATTTATTACATGAATCTAGGATCTTGTCCATGAATGTACAATGTAGACCTAATCACTAATCCAGCATACCACAATTTTGAAGAATTGTTACTAGTAGGCGTAGATATGCTTTACCTTCATAAAGGTGGCAGTTACATAAAATACAGTTAACGAATTCATGGGAGCAGGCTAAAGAATTCGTACAACCGAGAAGTTAAATGATAGTGGATTAAGATATATATATCATGTTACCTCAGAATAGAAAACCAACATATCAGCCTAGACTGCCTGTATCACTTACGACATTTGCATAGCGGCATCTCGTCTACTGGTTAGTGTAGTTGTAATTAACCTACAGGTTCGCACATAATACTACGAGCTACACCATATATTATGTAAGGACTAGTAAATATTATTTAGTTGCGTAAGCCTTTTTGAGAAAACGACTACGACCTGCTTGCTTGACATTCGAACGCTTAAACCAGCAAACCATCGCTCAGCATTCATAAAATCTTGCTCCTTTATCGACGTCGAAATTTTGATATACGTAATTTATCCTTAATCCTTCCGTAAAATTACAGTTACCTTTTGTTAAGGGACACTGAAAACGAAAATTTAGTTTTTATTTTAGAAAATAGATTTCCTTGGTATGGATGCACCTCCCGTATACGATCTCAAAAGATAAATGTTGGAGATGAAAGTAATTGAAAAATGCGAACATGCTAAGTGTTATGACATATCGCAACTGATTATCCTCTTATTCTTTTCACGTTTCAAAAAGATTTATCTCAACAGTCGAGTCGTTATCTGGAAATTGCGTAGATTGCTAGGATACAACTACGGATTTGTAATTGCTTATCCACCTTCAAAATGAGTCAGTCAGTCAGTTACAATGTAGGGCCAGGGCATACATGCATCGGTCCAAGTTACCTTCAAAATGAATAGAAAAATGTTTGAATAAAAAAGTTAGAGTTACATGTTAAAATGTTTACTAAGTGAAAATAATAACACAGCTTACATTTGGTTCCGATGATTTAGTACTCTCAGGATTACATGGATTATAATAAAATGAAGCTCTTTTACGCCTCTGACGAATATGTGTGTATACATTTTGGATGAGTTTTACATCATCATACCGAAAATTTGAATCGAAAATTCTTTTTGGATCATCAAATTTTAGCTTGACTGTAGGAATTCTGGAACCCGTATTTACGAATTTCAAGTCTACTAGTGGAAAGCACATTATTTTATTGACCACTCCAGACGGTAGGGTTTTGTACATTCTATGCCTATCTCTTGAAGAATCACGTTTCCCACTACGAAATGAACCTAGGCCTTGCGAAAGAGATGATTGTCGACGCGATTCTTCTGTGCAGTTTTGATTACTTTGACTCCATGGAAAATGAGAATTAATTGGTGTAGGAGGTAGAGCATTAAGATTATTCACTAACCCACAATCACTACTACACTCATTATTACTATTATCTTCGTTTGAAACAGGATCAGATGGCAATCGGTTTGTTTCTGGTTGGCTCACTAACAAATATAAATCTGCAAGTGAAGAAGTTAATTAAATGGACTCAGTGGTCTTCATAGAAATCAAATCAAAAATTACTTATGTTCAAAATACCAGTTATATTTATTATCAAGTGCATCAAACTTGTATACATAATCTCCAAAGATTTCAATCGTAACTTTAAGAAAAATGATAATGTATTCCGAAAATGTAATTTATAAATACCAAAATGTCGTAGTGTCCTTAGACCTGAAACACTTGTCAATTAAAGGCCTCTATAAACCTGTAAATTAACACAAGATACCTAGGGCAGCTAGCATTCATACAACTATTCTTTGCAAGCTGTTGATAAATCTATCAACAGATTTGAGACGAAAATTCACTAAACACCTGTTGCGTATACAATTCTGTAAACGTTTGGATGGACATAAAATCGAACTAACTTAAAACTTAACTTATTCTCAGATTTATCAAAACTAATGTAATTTGAACTGTCATATACATCAAATTCAAATACCATATAATTATTGTCTGTTCACACTCAGTTCCTTTGAAACTCACTAGAATTTTCTATCATTAGTTGTTTTCATGAAAAAATGACCCAGTTATTCACCAAGATCTGAGATAATGTGTAAAAAAATACCGTGTTACATAGAAAAGCTGGTGTTCACAGCATTTTAGAATGAACATTCTTGCGTATGTATTTGGAAATTCTTCCTACGTAACAGGAATGTGTATTTTCTAGGTTTCTTCTCAAGGTTCTGGTCAAAACACAAACGAATATATATATATTTCAATAAACACATTGAAACCTGACAAAGCAAAACAACGAACTATCACTTACAATTATTACAATTTTGCAATAGGACGCGCAAAGGATTCGGAAGGTATTCTAAACACAACAGCAAGTAAAAAAAATACCAAATATTCGATTCTAGAGCACATCGCTGAGCAATACACGCAACAGTTAAATGCAAATTAATGTAACTCAATATAATAGAAATTTATACAAGGCTCCTCAAACCGAAGTAAAATATATAAAACATCACATTTAACACAGTTTATGAGCTTAAACCACTACTGAACCCCAGCTTTGTAAAAAAACACCAGTAGTGTCATACCAAGTGCAAACATGCAAAATACATGCGTTAAAAATTGACATGTATAAAACAGACCACAGGAAACAAGCGCTTAACTTATTTAAGCAACCAGGAAACGTTGGACAGCTGTTTCGTCCTAATATGGGACTTCTCAGCAGCGCGTAACCACGACCCCATCACAAATCGAACTCAAGACCTTCAGGCCTCGCATAGAAAACTTGACTTTTAAACTGCTGGACGGGTATCTAATGGTCGACGGGTTTAACTCCAGCCAGCTCGCGATATCGTCGTTTTCAGTGGATAACTGAATCATACTTGAAACGGTTGGACTTCAGCTTCTCACTGGAGAACCGAGAATTTCTTCTCGAAGTTAGTTATTGATGAACACATGTTAGTTATAAGTATGAGGATTTGTGGAGGTTGTTGGACTGATTGAACTTAGGTACCCACTAGGACGAAATCGATATCCATTGCTTCGATGGCTGTGTAATTATGATCGCTTCGTAATTTCAATAACGTTCAACAATCTCTAGAAGTTTCAACAATAATAATTTATTTGTATCATTTGCTAGTATTCTCGCATGATACAACTACGTACAGTGTGTGCCATCATTCTATTCTTAGGTTATGCCTCTTATTGTATAAATGACGCTCTAATCTCTCATAATACGAGACTATATGTGTACATTTTATTTACAATAATAGTTCCATGCTTGCAAGCAAATCTTAAGTTATGCATTTGTACGTGTAACTCGGTCATTGGGTTAAAGTTGTTGCATATATATTTTGCGAATGATGATACTATAAACAGTTTAATATTTACGTGATATACAAAAGTTTCGCACAGATAACATAATATTTTACAACATCAAAAATGTGTAGGTATTGTGAATGATACGTTTTTTTTACTGTTTGTCGCCAGGACAAATTAAACACTATTGAGCGATAGTAAAGCAAGTTATGAATACATCAAGCAACAAGAATCCTTCATGCACACATGCTTCGCAATGCGCCTCCATCAACTTACAAAATTTGAATCGCATTTGTTAACATTCTAGTAGCATGAAAGACATTAGTCATCAAAAAGTAAATATATGTATAGTACCATTATAAACTATATTGGGATAAATTGGTAAATTTAGATTCATGACTCCAGGTCAAAGAGGTAGGACACCTATCCGTGGAATTCCTTATCGATGTTCAATATCCAACATTTTTATGCTCATTCAGTGTCTGAATGCAGAATACAAGAACACAACTTTCACTAAGGATTTCATTTAAATCCTAACTTTCACTTCACTTGACTTCTTCATCCAGTAAATTGGAATGTAATACAATAAGGTGTTCACAGAAGACACATGTAAATAGCTTTAGATCGTCAACACGAATTCCCCAGTAAAAATAACAGTTATAAGCAGCATCGATACATTAAACGAACGGAAAAATGGCGGATATTGCTCATTTTCTTAACACTGAAAAGATGATGTTTATCCTCATGCCAGTTCTATAATAGCACAATTTTGTAGTGAATAGTTGGAATAACAAACCAGAAGGGAAGAAGAACCTATATATAACATCATAGGAATAGTCAGTATTTGACTATCCATGGCATAATACTAGATGTTTTACGGTGTATATTGAGACAAAGAATGGTCTTAGTATCAAATATAAATATCAAATAACATATTATTTGAAAATGTGATCTATACCACATGAAATAATTATCCACAGACTGCTGTTTTTCAGATTGTGACTGACAGTGTTTCAAATTCAGGTAATAACTTATTATCAGTCAAGCCCAATCTATGAATGGATAATACCGTCTTGATACGGAATGATGGTCTCCAAACAAAAAGAATATAAATCTCACAAAGTTTATTGATAGTTTTATGCCTTATAACAGAAAATATATAGATCATTCCATTGTGCCTGCTGACCATTCTTTAATAGCTCCTTAGAAATTTATTGTCATACTCGCGGATGCTAACAAGAAATTAGTTGAATTTTGAGAACAATGAGACAACTGTCAAATTCTCCTACGCAGAGTGTTGGTAAGTAAGTTACAGAGATAGCTGTCAATTCTGTATATGTACATTAGCTTACCATAATAGATGATTAAATCAATATTGATTTGGAAGCACGCATCAAATGTTACAACAATGATTATAAGAAAGTCAAAATGAAACAAACCAAATCTATACGCTAAGGGTAATTGTGAGTAACAATCCTGCAACGACACAAGGATGAACACTCACTTGCTAATGCCTCCTTTTCTTTAGGCAGATAAGCGCTTGGTAACCGTCCACAAAAATCTCGTATATCAGTTCTAGCTTCTATATAAAAGCAGATAAATAATACATGATCAAGTTGAAACTGTGATTCGCTTATTATTCTTATTTATTATAGATAAAAGTTTGGTATAATAGAACACCTGGAAGTGATTCACATAAGGCGGAATGACAATTTTATATTGAGTTTAAAACAAAAGGAAATACTACACTATTTATAGTAATAAGCAATGAATTGAAAACAAACAAATAACTAACATAAACGTAATTGTTTTCTCCATTACCATATTAAATTCATTATTCTTGAATCAATGATGGATAAAGTATTCATTTGGAACGTATTTATAAGAACAGTGTCAAGATATATTTAAAAAGATGGTAGCAACTACTTTAATAAGATGACAATTTTTGTTACAGACTTTTATTCGTCAATTCAGCTCAATTACTAATCCATACTTCCCAATCCGTGACCCATCAAGTGCACAAGGTGAGAAGAACAAGTGTGTAGGTAGCTGCATCACTAAAAGCCCACTGAATACGCACAAATATAAATTGTTGGACTAATTCAGATATGGAAATATAGGTATAAACATTAAATAAGGCTACTTGATCACAGTACTTTCATTCACACTTGGATTTCGATATACCAAGTAGTCTCGCAACAACATGTGATCTGTCTAGGATTGCCCACTATCAAACTGATATCAGATGGAGAACTAATGAAAACCAAGATGTAATGAACAGTTGTTCTCCAACAGTTCCGTTATAGTTTGGAACTTAACAGCACATGATATGTCTATAGCCGTCCACACTATCACACCACATTGAGTAAATATAAACAGACTAGTGTAGTTCTTAAAATAATTTCAAATCATAGCTTTCATTACTACAGTGAAAATCAATTCCTGATAATAAGGTCAGGAAAAAAAGAGCATTAGACTAAAAATAGTAATTCGGAGAAGTTGTTCCAAACGGTTTATAAATAATTACTGAAAATGATAGCGGTAAATGAACAGACGCACTTACTGTACACGGAAGTTAATAAGAATATAACATCTTCATTCCCGTTGGCAGCGGCCAAATGTAAAGGAGTCATACCCTACAACAAATTATATATATATATATATATATATATATATATTATTCATTGACAGAAATATATACATAGATCGATCGGATTTATTGGTAAGATTTACTAAGTATATAACTGAGGAACTACAATATAGAACATATTATAAACTGTTTTGCATTTGAAAGATTAATTAGCACATATATAAATAACACTAACTGTTTATAACTACTTACCTCCTGTGGAAATGAAAGCAGTAACAGAAAGAGAAATGAAAACAGAAAAACACAATTAAGATATTTTATTTAAAAAAAAACAACATATGAGTTCGAATATTTTGTTTAGTTATTATAGTTGTGTTAATAAAAGTTGGGTAATTGAGACATCACTCTTGAATACTTGACCGGAGAGGCGTGACATTATCCGTATCGGGACCATGATAGTTTCATATACACGACCTGTTAGATCATCAGAGTACAATAGAATTCGATCGACTTGAGTTCTTTCGGATATAAGTAATTTTTTAAGAACCAACGTGAAATGGAGTAAACCACTGAGATTCAGGTAACCCTGAACAGCTATTTCGATATGCACATTGTAAAATGTGATTGATAGACGAACCCACCAATAATAAGGGAAACGCCCACCACCATATCAACTCCTTTTGACCTTGTACGACTGTATCTCTTTATTAACCAATCACAGTTTAATGTTCATTGTAAAACAATATTGGCTTGTTGACTCATTTTTCCTATTCTCTGGCTACTGTTCGGTATGTTATTTGTCTCTGTTTTTCCCTGTATTAGTAGACCGTACTGTTTGTTTGTACACTAACGATGTTAATTTATGTTTGAGAAACAGATAAAGTTTATCTAGCCAAATAGCTTGCTTGTTCTGACTTTGGCCAAACCAAGACTCTGTATTCGACAGTCTAGAGAATAGTTTAGAATTAAACCTGTAGGAAATTACTCCCCACACACATATCATTACATAATCAATGTTAACCTATGCTACTTTTAGTCTGAATACTGAACACTTCCAGTAATTTAAATCTAATGTACATGACTGATGTAGTTTTAATACTGAATGCCATTAACTTCCAGAAAGAGAAGTGGATAATAAAACATTCGTATTTCAATCTTTGTGAAAGGATATTTATTGACGCAGAATACTCACATATCAACAATTCTACAACAATACCAAAGTATTTAAATATTGTGCACACAAAGAAAAAATATGTTGACAATTTACTTTAAAATGTTTTATTCAATTAGCTTTTCTAATTATCTACCATAATTTACTCTTAGATAATGTATTATTTTTTGGGTGAGTGTACATACTTTACATTTTATATCGGACAAACTAAACCGAAAAAAATGTTGCTGTGTGTAATAATTATTACACACATCTTATTACGTAATGACTTTAATGTTTTGTGATTACTATTCCTAGTCTATTTACCCATGTTTATTTGACCTTCTATTTCCAACGATTAACTATTGATAAGAGTTTGTTATTGTAGTTTATTATTCTTACCACTATCTGTTCACCTGTCTTCCTACTATCAACTTGTACTTTTACCTATTATGTGTAGTGACTTATTCTATTTCATTGTGATTATTGACCCATATTGCCTTGATTGGTTTAAAATTTTCGTATAAATATTTATGTATATTAGAGTAAAGCCTGATGACGATCTAATTGAAAACAATTGTTCGCTTATATGTGTTGTTCTAATAATTATTAGTCAAACAGACAGTCATCATTAACATGGAATGATATAAGTTGCTATACTATATTAGCACTACGAGATGAAAAATAACATGATAATCTGCAGAGGATATAGGAATAATGTAGTAGCAACGCCAAACAGAAAGGTTAAACAATAGGAAAAGCGATACGATGCCGGAAAATAAATAAGGTCCGGACTGATTGGAAAACACATGACTTACAAGCTAGTTTCCTCCAACCACCCATAGCATTTTATTGTGTTCACTTTGTGCTCACATTTCGCATACAAGAATGTTATTTTATTACATGAAAAAATTCATCTGGTTAATGGTATTGTCTTCGGTTTCTAACTACTTAGGGGTCCAAGTCAATTATGGTTTTATAAGTACCCATCACTGGATTACATTATACCATTGTGGTTAACTAATGATTATCATTCTACTCATCAATTTTGACAATTGAGAATTTCTTCACTTAAAGCTATCTTCATAGCAAAAAGACAGAGTGGAAAGGTATGTATGGAGCAATACTGGAGTTCAAAATCGAAAAGAAGATATGGAGTGAACGAATCTGGACCATTGTGAACTGACCGAGTTTATCACACAGACTTCAACCAGGTTCTCAGATCTTAAACATGTCACAGTCATATCAGCTGACGTAGCTTTGCAATCTCACCAACCGATTTGCCTATCTTGCCTGGTACCATATACCCAACTTGAATATTTCTAAATCGTTCGTTCCACAGAAAGTGGGCAATGTTTCAAAGATACTGTAGCCTGTAGCCTAATTTATCTTCTACTTTCACAAACCATGTTTCACAACAGTAAAGTAAAACATACAAGACTGCTTCTCAGTATACACGTCTATAGGTTTGCAGACGGAAATCGCGTCTACGCCAAAGTGACTCAAGTAGGCAAATGCCAACTGAGCTTTCTCAATTGGTGGGAAGAATTCGTCAGATGTTGGCCTTTACTAGATAAGTAAAGTAGTCAATTTATTCAACTACTTCACTCTCTATCATTAGTTCAGGTGTTAACACAGACCAGTTTTGAAGCAAAATTTCGCATTTATGGGGAGAGAAACTCATCCCGAACATGCTTGCATTATTGCTCTTGTAAATGAAAAGACTATATTTTGTCAGCGTCTTTACCAAATAGGACTATATCATCTGCATTTTATAAGTCATAATAGGATGAACCGTAAACACGTAATACATAAAACTTACACATGACTGAGCATCAACTTGAACATGGTAATTTCCAAGTAACAATCGGATAGCAGCACAATCTCCATATTTAGCTGCATAATGTAGTGCAGTCTGAAGATCGGAAAAAATGCAAACACGGTTAGCCCATTAAAAGGTAAAAATAGTTCCTCAAAAGTAAATTAAACATGGTTAATAAAGTATATTTGAATATTTTACCGAATTGGGTTAGTGTATTAATTTCTACTGAAATGATCGTTAGTAAAGTTTCAGTAGATATACAGAAGATCCAGTTAACATTTAACAACGACTAAGGCTTGCTGTACCGGTCAGATGCCTACCTAACAATTGAGTCCCGCGCATGCGGTTTAGGTGCAATATTCTTAATTTATGACTACTAGGCATCAATAATAAAGACATCAGACATAAGATGACTTTGGATATTTAATAAAACATGTTTCTGAAATATCCCTTGTGTGTAGTTAAAAAGCATATCTATTCACAAGGTTACAAACAAGCATCGACAAAAACCTAACGCGTTAGTAGGTACCATACAACTAAGGTTGACTTTTACATAGTAAAAGTAGCTTGATATTCAATAAACAGACAAATGACAATAAATCATAAAATATTGAGGTTTAACCGAAGAAGCGTAGGGATACAATTGAATAGTTTGATGTCAGGAGACAACATAAAAGACGCGATGATCACCGATATTACAATCTGGTTTTCTTTAAGTAACTATTTTCTTCATGGCTTTTTATATTTTTCTACTGATTCATTCTAACACCTTCTGCTCTTCTGAGCTTCTTTGTCTTTTTTAATGCCGTGACATTGTTCAGTAACCTTACATCCCAAACTCAATATTGCTTTAATCAGTTAATGTTACATCCCTTACGTAATTACGGCAGAGTACGGTATAAAACTATCGGCACTCAAAGGTGCAGAACCCCAGTTGCAAATCGAAAGAAGCTGGGGAAGCGATTGTTGAGTAAGAGTCGAAAATTTACAGAAAAACAAGGATACCTATAGTTTTCAGTATAAGCTATAACATTGTTATAATCCAGCCAACATTCAAATAGGAAAGCTATATAATTGTCTAATCACAGCATGTTACGTTGATATTCTAGAAGGTTTTGACTGGATGGGATCACTTCCGTTCCTTTAAAGCCTATGGAAGCTCTTTCATGCTTTCTGGGAGCAGTCCAACAGTTAAAGTATCCAAATAAGAGCATACTGGAATCAATACATAAGCTGTGTATACTTTTTTACCTTCTGACAAAATAAACAGTATGAACTAGATTCATAATTTTGATAATTTGATTTTACTTCAGTAAACTTATCAAAGATTAGGTGAATTGAATAGCTAACTACTACGATAAAATAGTAACTTGAAGGAATGTAAACTTCTCAAATCTGACGTGAAAACTTATATATACAATAGCGTAAATCCATTCGTAAATAAAAGCACGCACAAATAAATACTCCTACAACACTGCTAAATAACCAGTACATAACACTATAATATACATCATCAAGGAACATATATGAATATAAATACTTACATACTGTTTTTCAATTGGATTTTTCATATTCGCCATAGATTAAAAATAGTATTCAAAGAGGAAAAGTGAATTTGTTATGAGTGAGAATAAAAAAATGGAATGTTGTACGATTACTATAAGACATGATGAGATTAATTAGTTCTTAATATCACACGACAACATATAGGAACTAAAACAACTTTTATTGTTATAACATTTTGTATGCAACAGGAAATGTATCGATTTCTAAGATTAACAAGTAATCAAAATTTAAATAAAGAGGTAATATGTTGAAAAACTGTTGTACTATTGTCATCATAGGAAAAGATATGAACATCTCAATAATGTTAAAATAAAGAAACTATGTCAATGTATTCACTAATTCTGATTATGTAACTTTAAAAGTAGTTAATTAAAAAGACAAATTTTGATCGAATATAATTCACTAACCGAGTACAGGTCAAAGTACTTGGTTCCCCAAAACACACATATTACGTAAAGCGTTAGTAATATTATGTGTTATATCGAAGCATGATATATATATATATATATATATATATATATATATATATATATATATACTTTTAGGGGATTTCAATAAATTGGGAGCCTATTGATTTCCATGATTTGTACTTGAAAAAGTAAATTATAAAATGAATGTTACTCAAGTCATAATTGACGTAGGGCCTGGCACAAACGTACATTGATCTAAGTTAACAAACCACACAACTACGATTACAGAAAATTAAGGAGACGAATATCGAATAATTTGTGACAATGTGCTAGGAATGATAGCGAGGAGTTCATAGAGGCTCTCAGAAGTAGCAACAGTATCAGTAATTGTAGAAAAGAGTGGATATAGAAAATACGATCCCAGAAAAATACAAACCCGTGGGATAAAAAGGTATAAGACAGTTTCGGAACTCATGATCTAAGTGGCAACAACAACTGAATGCATCTACGCCATCTCGATTGATATTGATGCATAACAACCATGGTTACGATAAGCGCGAACCCTAATCACATAGTCTGGAAGTATTAACATGACTCAAACCAGTAGTCATTAAATTTAACCTAAATTTACCGCCCCAGCTTCTAATCTAACTTCACACCAGCCAACAATTCATATTATGGCAGGTGGTGGTAGATGATAGATAATACATTTTTTAACTAAATCAGTTGATGGGGATTTACAATCTCATCAATTAAATTGTTATCTTTCCCAAGTACCCTAGGCCTAACCTCAGAAGTGCTCACTTGGTCATTCTACGATAAGCTAGTAATATAATTCAAAGAAACTTATGATTAGAAATATTACTTGAAAGTATTTTTATTCAATGTGTTACAGTATTACTATAAGCGAAGTTATTCCACAAAAAATTAGGGAAATATACAACTTTATGTAAAAAAAAGGTGTATCGGATTGGGAATTATTTGCTTTCTGAAGAGGTAGCTTACAAAAAATCGTAAAAAGTCAGAAAATAATTGTATTCTTCACTATCTAATTATTTACACACATCTTATTACGTAATGACTTTAATCTTTTGTGATTACTATTCCTAGTCTATTTACCCATGTTTATTTGACCTTCTATTTCCAACGATTAACTATTGATAAGAGTTTTGTTATTGTATTTTTTATTATTCTTACTATTATCAGTTCACCTGTCTTCCTACTATCAACTTGTACTTTTACCTATTATGTGTAGTGACTTATTCTATTTCATTGTGATTATTGACCCATATTGCCTTGATTGGTTTAAAATTTTCGTATAAATATTCATGTATATTAGAGTAAAGCCTGATGACGATCTAATTGAAAACAATTGTTCGCTTATATGTGTTGTTCTAAATAATTCTCAGGCTGTTTCATAAATACATATCAGTTACGATATCGAAAGAACTGTAATCTTAGTAACGCCTATTTCAAATACTTCTTTTATTTCTAACTATTGGGCACAATTCCAGTTTTAACCAAATGTATTCAGTTAACTATAAAAGTTTTAATCATGTACTAGAACTAAAAAAAAAAATTTTTGTATTTTATCTTAACTAATAAGTTTTATACAAAATACTTTTTTACTTACTCCATTGATACTAGTCTAAAAAACAAACAAATATAATTGACAATCGAATAGAATCGAAATACACCAACATTATAGGCATGATCATATGAGACCACAAGAAAGTTGTACACAATCAGACACGTAAAGTACAAATAATTATTCTTAAATAATGATTAAACAGCTAGAAAATCAATATACTACAACCCAACCAGTTGGTTATATATGTTTCGTGACAAACAGATAATTAAATGGTGATGGTATGTTAACTGAAATTACGAGAATATAGTAATTTCAAACAAATTATAACACATTAAAAGTATATTCTCATATTTACCGCCTAATCACACACACACAAACACACTTAAACAGATATCAGGACAGTAAAACAACCTGTTGAAGTATGTTGTAATACTCATATAAGAACTAGAGCCATCAATCAGATAATAGTGATGAGATCTTCCAAACTAACACTCTAGAAGCATTATCATAAAATTTTTATTCAATCTCGAACTAGTGATTTTAATGCTAAATCTCGTGTAGCAGTAAATAAATCCCCAAAATAAATAGCTCTGTAAGTCTTCGACATTGGATGCTGATCACATTAGTTTCAATGGACTCACTTAGCTGAAGGCGCTCGGTCATGCATCCGCACCAGATCACAAGTGGGGACGCCGTGCTCAACAACCCCTGCAACCGCTAGCCAGATTAGATCAGACGATCCTCGATATATTGATAGCCCATCAAATATACCTTCGAACCTCCTCGCTTCTGTCTTTTGATTTCACTTGGTGGGTACGATTCATGTTAGAAGGTGTTACTGGTTAAAGCGTTGTCAAACTCCGAATACCTGTGGCATCTTCATTGGTGAGCCCGACGTGGTCTGGTACGCCAAATTGCAAACTGTGAGTCTGTTCCTTTTTGGGATTTTATATATCATTGCCTTACTCTAATTTTTTATACATTGTGATATTTGTTTCGTGTTTTTGGATATATATATTTTCTCACTCGTTCATTCTCGTACTTGATATTTCACTATGACTGAACAGACACCCAAAGTACTTAAGCTAAGGACTATGTCCCCATCTTCGTTCCAACTAATGCCCTTTTGGCCAGACAACATCGAAGCCTTGTTCTGCTACTCAGAAGCCGACTTCTACGAGTACGGCGTGAACGACACACGTGCGTAATTCCTCGCAGTAGTCAAGGCACTACCGCGCGAATTCAACAGGTGCGAAACACCTAGTATGTTTACTAGTGATGTTTCTGAACCTTATGAAACACTGAAACGATCTATCCTTAAACGCGAAGACCTATCCGATAAGTTTTGTCAGTCAAAGAAAAGCCTCAAACGACCCAGAATGACATTACAGAGTTATGTCATACACTTACGCGTTATCTTAAATTTCGTAACGACCGTAAGCGATCACACACCCCACGTAGAAGCACTTCACGTAAGCGATCGGTCTCTAGATCACGAGAGACGGATAACCCAGACTGGCGCAAGTATCATAACCAGTATGGAAAGTCCTCCAGAAATTGCAGAAAACCCTGCAATTTTTCCAGCTCAAAACCGACCGACACGAAGAACAACTCGGGAAACTTCCAAGCCGGCACGCGTTGACGGCAACCGTAGCCGGCGAACATAGCCATCTGTTATACGTCACAGATGTGATAACGAGAGTTCGCTGCTTCGTCGACATTAGCGCAGAAGTTAGCGTTCTTCCTGAAAATTCCAATGACCGGCTTCGCGAATCATTTTCAAACTTACAAGCGGCAAACGGAAAGCCACATACGGTAAAAGGTACGTTTACCTGAACGTGGGTTTACGCAAACCCATACACTGGATCTTCGTTCTTGCAGATGATGTGTGATGTGTAACGTTACTGGCTTTCCGTTTGCTACCTTCTGAGTAGCATAACAAGGCTTCGATGTTGTCTGGCCAAAAGGGCATTAGTTGGAACGAAGATGGGGACATAGTCCTTAGCTTAAGTACTTTGGGTGTCTGTTCAGTCATAGTGAAATATCAAGTACGAGAATGAACGAGTGAGAAAATATATATATCCAAAAACACGAAACAAATATCACAATGTATAAAAAATTAGAGTAAGGCAATGATATATAAAATCCCAAAAAGGAACAGACTCACAGTTTGCAATTTGGCGTACCAGACCACGTCGGGCTCACCAATGAAGATGCCACAGGTATTCGGAGTTTGACAACGCTTTAACCAGTAACACCTTCTAACATGAATCGTACCCACCAAGTGAAATCAAAAGACAGAAGCGAGGAGGTTCGAAGGTATATTTGATGGGCTATCAATATATCGAGGATCGTCTGATCTAATCTGGCTAGCGGTTGCAGGGGTTGTTGAGCACGGCGTCCCCACTTGTGATCTGGTGCGGATGCATGACCGAGCGCCTTCAGCTAAGTGAGTCCATTGAAACTAATGTGATCAGCATCCAATGTCGAAGACTTACAGAGCTATTTATTTTGGGGACTTATTTACCGCTCCCGTTTTTATATGAAGACTGTATTTTTCATCACTGTTAAAAGCACACTTCTCCGTTATTCTTTGTTGGCATCACAGTACGTCACTTTGTAACTGTATTTCCAACGTCATATATATATATATATATATATATGTTTTTACTGTATAATTAGTAACCAACCAGGCCAGTTATATTTATACCTCTTTTATTACATGCTTTCTTTTAACCTAGTAACTGCCATTATACGATTTATCATTACTAATTTATTCCCAATCTACTACTTACAATCTCTGCTACTCACAGCCACTGTGGCTTGATCTTGTGTAATTGTTATTTTCCACTTTTTGGTTTGATGTGGTCTGATCTGCTTGTATATAAACTACGTATGTCTAAAATATAATATTCGTATAGCAGAGGCAGATTCATTCATTCATTTGATCACGTAAATATTTGTACAAAGGGGCATCGAATGCATGTGCGCTACACAAGTCACTTGTGTGTGGGCCGTGATACCACCCGGATGCCCAAACCGAAGTGAGGGGGCCACACCCGGAGCCTTTAACCTAAAGGCCTGATCCACAAGGCAATGGAGCAACGCTAGGAAATGAAGTCCTATAGTAGCCGGTGACCAATAAATGGTTCATAGACCATTTGTTCCCTCAGGATACTGGAACCCATGTGAACCATTGGTTTGGAATCAGGGTTTTCCAACTCTCCTAGGTGGATCTTTCATATCCACCAACCCGGCTGATCATTGTATTCTGGGCTCAACGGGCAGGGGGAGGTGATAAGCTACTGCATCGAGGACGAATAAAGATTCGGGGTCGATTTAGCTTACAGACAAAGTTGTGAGGGTCAGTATTTTAATTGGTCGTTTTATCAAGTGATATTAGACAGGGCCATAAGTTGTAACATGATAGATCTTAAAAAATGTCTCACATGACTAACAGCCACTTTAATATAGACCTTCCCGTAAACATGAAGAACTCGTACAGCAATTTAATTTATAATTAGTTTAGATCATTGTTGTGCAATAAGATTACTTTTCTTAGTTCTATATGACAACGCAATTTTCTGAGGCTATAAATGCAAAGTGAGTCCAAATCTTAAATAAAATAATACGGGTTGGTATTTTGATACAATACTGACTAGTATTTTATTAATACCAATTTGAAATGCACTTGAAAACAGCTATTAAAAATTATATACGGCTTCGTTTGAGTCTAATAATAACGGAGAACATTAAGCTAAGCATTATTCTGGTTTATACATTTAGGAATATGAATTTGAACTGTAAGTGGTGTTCGTAATAGAAGAATTCTAAGAACACAACGACATAATTGTACAGCACATATTCACCATTAGCTGTTACAAAATATATATAAAGTAAATGAAAATTACCTTCCATACAGCTAATTCAGGGTGTTGATTAAGCATTCTTGTCATTTTCGGTTGATCACAGTCAACGATAGCTAACAACCAATCTTTCTGTTCTTGAGTCATCTGTTGATTAGATTCAAAGTAAAAAAGTGGAAAGTATTGGTTAGAAAAAATATTTAGCTGAAATGATAAAAAGTATGTAACTACGTGATACAATGATAATTTGCCGTTTTCTTAATTTAATAACGGTTACATAATATTGTGCATACGTTAACGAGCCAGTGAATGGGATATAGAGAAATAGCTGTTCAGATACAATTAAGCTTCACTTGAACAGTTAAAGCAAATTAACCAAACCTTAAGTTGAAGAAACGTTTTATGGAACAGACGAGATATGCAGTGTGAGTGCACTCTTTATTGCTTGACTTTATGCCGTAATGGAGGTAGAAAGCATGATACTATATACGACGAGCATATGTCACAGTTGATAATTATCTTGAATCGTTCGTTACTTTCAAGTTCTAGAATTCATGTCCATAACCAATTTTAAATCAGATATTTTGACAACTATTTTTTTTACTCCAAAGTCTATATTAGATAACAACGCAATGTGAAAGCAATTTTTAAAAAAACTGCAAGTAATAACTACGGATTACAACCGTGTAAACACTTTAAAATGGGTCACATTGCAGTATAATCCCGTGGTGTGAAAGATAGTTTTATAACATTGGAATTTCAATCCATCATGAGTGTTGTCCGAGTCCCAAAAACGATGCAGTTCAGTGGATTGACGGGTTATTAGATATAATGCAAAATAGTAGCCAGTAGTGTTCCAGCTTTTGTTTTTTAATACAGCCATCATAATAGTGAGGTGGGCTTTATTACCTTAACGAAATGTTTATTGGCTGTATTTTTAACTTAACTGTATCTCTTACTAAATACTATTTCTAGTTATTTCTTTACTGACCGTACTACTATTCTCTCCTTTGTTTCCTAACAATATTTTCCCTCCATTTGTCCCTTACTATGTCAGGATTTATGTGATTTCAGAGATTCGATAAAGGATCAGTAATAAATGAACATATATGGTACATAAACATAATCTATGATCAGAAACTTACCGGAAGGATAGAGGTGGAATTCTACAACGGAAAAAAACTTCATTACTATAACTTTACGAATTTAATAGTTCGAGACAAATGATTATACTTGCTTTGACATAGTGTAAAAATCAAGAAAACAGGAATGTGAGTTGTGGGAGACAAGTAAATAGTTTCAATGTAACATTGAAATTTCTAACATATAGAATAGGATCACATTAATGTTATGAGATATTGGATAATTTAATTAATTGTTTTCTGAATCACTTTGTTTTTTGCTCTAACCTAAGCCCATCAGACAAATATTTCATGAACCCGAGACCGCACTAATTTATTTACAATTCATCGTAGATATGTTGACAATAGAACATAACTTGATACACTTAATGTAACTAAAATTTTCATATTTAATCTTGTATAGTGTTGACTTTGAATACTAAACCTCTAAAACATGAGGGACTAAGCTGATTCCCGGAATAGCGAAGCTTCCGTATGAATCTCGACTGGCCAAGCTGAACCTTTTCCCGTTGTCATATCGCAGAACTAGAGGCGACTTGATTACAGTCTACAAATTGCTTAGTGATAAATTTGCACCTAACATGCCCTCATTTTTCTTGTCTTCCAAAACAGAGAATTTACGAGGACACTCCAAAAAAGTTCACAAGCCGAGAACAAATTACTTGTCAGTTGACTATCGACTTTCCCATCGAATCATCAACGAGTGGAATTCACTACCTCAGCACGTGGTTGAGGCTCCATCCGTCGACTCTTTCAAAAGAAAGTTGGATCAACTGAGAGACCACCATTGCCAGGACTAACATAGGCCATCGAGCCTCCTGTCCTTCCCAAACTGAAACTGAAACTGATTATAAAAAGAATATTAAATGCAAATGATCTTTACCAAGTAAAAGCTTTGATGGAAGAAAGAGAGTTTCCAAAAGATGAACAGTAGGAGAGAGTTAACTATGAGTGATTTATATTTGAACAACAACAAGATGAAGATTAAACAAAGCAAACAATTTATTTCTCCACATCTACCTGGTTATGAGAGACAATATCCAAGCTATAAACATTTAACCTTAACAAGCTGCAAAAGGTTGAGTCCAGTGAATTAAAGGTTTAATTAGATAAAAGTGTAAGGTTATAAATGAGATGTACTCGATAATATCAGTGTAAAAAGCATATAACAAAATCAAACTTACTATACTATTGCTCCTACTCCCATCATCTAAAGACGGCACCGTTATAACCATATTTTCTCGTTACGAAACTTGTCAGATAATAAACTTGAAAGTGTTCGGGGTAAAAAAGCTACATCTACGTGTTTGTGCCGAAAGTTAGCGTATCAATAAAAAATCCGTCACTTCGACTGTTGACGATTCTAAAATAGATGAAATGATACAACCTGAAATTACGAAAATTAAGAGAACAACAAAGAGTCAACTAAGCTTCACTTCATATGAAAGAGCTATAATAGGTGCAATGCTTGAATGAAACATGTCAACAGGTCAGTTAGCCATAAACAACGCAGAACCTGGCGCAAATTACTACACCATATCAACAGGACTAAGTGGAATTGCCAAGATGAATACTATAGTAGTATCACTGATATTGAGAATGACTATGGATAAAGATGGATGATTTTGAAGAACCAACAGTCAATAAATTCATGGACTAACGCTACATTTTGGTTTGACCCTTCCCAGTTCTTTCCGACTGGACTGGTGAACAGTATAGTATACTGTGAAAGGAGCATATCAGTTGAAGAAGCATGGTCTGTATTTAAAGGTAAATTTAGACTAGTTACGTCCCCGTTTATACCATACCTGGTACCGCGAAGACCGAATAATAGTCCACCATGGATAACTAAAACGGTCAGGAAACTCCTTAGAAAAAGGAAGAATCACTGGAATATGTTCATCTCTACTGGCTTAGAACAATACAGATCCAGTTATTGTAAGATTAGGAATGCCTGTAAAGCGTTAATAAGCAAGACTAGACATTCATACGAAAAACAATTGGTTAGGGATTCTAGATATAGTCCGAAACAGTTATTCTCGTATATAAAAAGGCGAACTAAGAGAAGCGATGGAATCCCATCACTTTTGATACGAGACAATCCGTTAATCTTAGCAGAGAATGATGCCAAAAAAGCTGAAGCTTTATCGGAATATTTTAGTAAAGTGTTTTCTATCGGTAATGAGGAAGACCAATGATTAATTGTGACCGTGACGGCTCGCTGATGGATCCTGTAGTCATTGAGAAAGATACTGTTTTAAGGCTACTTCAGCATCTCAAACCTGATAAGTCCAGTGGTCCCGATGATATTCATCCTAGGATTATGAAAGCCATATCAGGTGAAATCGCTGAACCATTAGCGATACTATTCGACATGTCTCTGAGACAGTCCAGACTTCCTAGAGACTGGAAAGACGCCATAATAAGTCCGGTGTATAAGGCTGGGAGTAGGGATTTAGTTAGTAACTATAGACCCGTTAGCTTAACTAGTGCAGTTGTGAAACTGATGGAGAAAATCATTAGGATAGCTGTTATAAACTATGTTGAAGGGCAAAATCTTTTCTCCAGGGCACAACATGGTTTTCGGAAAGGCCTATCTTGCTTGACAAATCTTCTCATTGCACGAGAAGAGTGGGCTGCGGCAAAGGATCGGAATGCTCCTGTGGATGTAATTTTCATAGATCTAAGTAAAGCCTTTGATAAGGTCTCACACTCAGTTTCAGTTTCAGTTTGGGAAGGACAGGAGACTCGATGGCCTATGTTAGTCCTGGCAATGGTGGTCTCTCAGTTGATCCAACTTTCTTTTGAAAGAGTCGACGGATGGAGCCTCAACCACGTGCTGAGGTAGTGAATTCCACTCGTTGATGATTCGATGGGAAAGTCGATAGTCAACTGACAAGTAATTTGTTCTCGGCTTGTGAACTTTTTTGGAGTGTCCTCGTAAATTCTCTGTTTTGGAAGACAAGAAAAATGAGGGCATGTTAGGTGCAAATTTATCACTAAGCAATTTGTAGACTGTAATCAAGTCGCCTCTAGTTCTGCGATATGACAACGGGAAAAGGTTCAGCTTGGCCAGTCGAGATTCATACGGAAGCTTCGCTATTCCGGGAACCAGCTTAGTCGCCATTCTCTGAATCTTTTCCAGAAGCTCTCTGTCTTTTGTAAAGCAGGGGCTAGCCGCTTGTATGCAGTACTCAAGTTTAGGACGAACGAACACTGTATACAAAGTCATAAACGTCTTAGTGTCGACATGACTAAAAGCCCTACGTATTGACCATAACGTTCTAAAACTTTGGTGGCTATTGCACAGCAGTGTGCAGTAGTCTTTAAGTCTTGACTAACGATAACTCCTAAGTCATTGTATGTCTGGACGACAGGTAGCTCAGTGTTATTCATCGTGTATGTATCTGTGCCTTGATGACCTATATGCATCACAACACACTTGGAAGTATTTATAGGCAACTGCCATGTTTGAGACCATTCACATAACTTCTTCAGGTCATTTTGGAGTTCTAAGCTATCACTCTTACATCGTATCGTTCTCCTTATCTTGACATCGTCAGCATATAGCAAGACCGATGATGATAGGAGACAAGGAAGGTCATTTACATACAAGAGGAATAGCACGGGCCCCAAAACTGTACCCTGGGGCACTCCACTAAGCACAGTTTCCCAGCTAGATAACTTTGAGTTCACCCTTACTCTTTGTTGACGCCCAACTAAGAAGTCTTTTATCCACACCAACAAATTACCTCCAATCCCGACATGTCTTAACTTATATAACAGCCGGTTGTGCGGAACTTTATCAAAAGCTTTACTGAAATCAATGAAGGCGACGTCTACAGGTAGCTTTTGGTCCTTAGGAGCACACCAGCTTTCACGAGCCACTAATAAGTTAGTGAGACAAGAATAACCTGTTCTGAAGCCATGCTGCTTCTCCGAGAGGATCCGATTTTTATCGAGATACTTAAACAGCTCCTTCCGAATAATATTTTCTAAGATTTTAACAACCACACTAGTTAGGCTAACGGGGCGGTAGTTCTCAGGTTTGTGTTTCGTGCCTGTTTTGAAGACAGGACTTACTATGGCGTTTTTCCAATCTTTCGGTAAGCGACCCTGCGTAACGGATAGGTTAAAGCATGTACTTAAAGGGTTCGCAACGAAGTTAGATAATTCCTTCAGTAGCCTAGGATGTAATTCATCGGGCCCCGTGGATTTACCGATGTCAAGCTTATTTAGCAGACCAAAGACATCGAGTTCTTTAATGGTCACGCTATCCAGTGTATGTATGGGGGGATCTGTATACGCTGACGAGAAGGGCGCTTCTATGGTATACACGTTGCTAAAGTAGTTCGAGAACGCTTGAGCCTTACCAAAGTCGTCCTCCACTAATGATGAAGCAGTACTGTCTCCCCATAGAGCAGGAATATTTCCTTTTCTCCTTGTCCTTTGGTTTATATAGGAATACAAGCGTTTAGGACATTCTATGGATTCCTTAACAAGTTTTTCTTCGTACAATTTTCTAGACTTACGGAGGGTCGAGGCACAAGTGTTCCGAGCCTTTCGATACTGAGATTTTGACTCATCAGTCCCAAGTAACCTAAATCTATCCCACATTTTCCTTTTCTTACGGAGAAGGATACGGACCTCCCTACTGAACCATGGTGGTGAGTTTTTCGGCCCCTTTGGTATAGTCCAAGGGATGTGAGGTGTGGTAACTTTTAAGTATGATTTTCGAAATGTGTCCCAGGCCGTTTCAATGGAGGACTCTGGGTCTATTGTCCAATCTATTAACGATGCTGAGTGCATGATGTCTGGTATGTTTGCTTTCCAGACGTTGGGTCTGGATTGGACTGACGCGTCCTCATGACTGGCAGTTATATGGAAGTCGAAAGTTAAGACTGCGTGGTCACTTTTACCTAAGGGTGGCATATGGTGGAGGCTCGCAACATCATCCTCATAGTGAGTCAGTATAAGATCTAATAAGGATGATTCAGTGTCCGGGTCGTACCTAGTCGCTTCTTTCACATGTTGCACTAGGGCACATGTGATAACCGCATCAACTAGTTCCTGCTCGAAGGAATTTTCTGACGATTCAGTTCGCAGATTTTCCCAGTCTACCATTGGTGCATTAAAGTCCCCTAGGATTAGACATCGACCACTTTGGGACCAAGTATTGAGACTGCTTAACAGGATCTCATTTGCCTCACAGCTTGGACTGCGATAGACCAAACCAATCAGCAGCTCTTGTCCCTTGCATTTTAAGCGAAGACTAACTAATTCACACGTCCCACTCTCATGGGATACACTATCGATAATGGTAAATGGGATAGCATTCCTAATGAATAGAGCTACTCCCCCTCCTTTGCGCTTTTGTGTTCTGTCGGCCCTTACTAACGTAAAGCCCTCGAAATCAAGTTCTATACTATCTATAGCCTGTGTCAGCCAGCTTTCTGTTACTGCGATTATATCTGGCTTTATAGAGTCAATCTGTACACCTAGTTCCGATCGCTTATTAAGTAAGCTTCGTGCATTGGTGTAACAGATCCGAAGCCTGTTTAGGTGCCTTCGTGCTTCACCTAGAGTGGCTTCGGCATCATTCTCTGTCGAAGTCTTACAACCCGAAAATTTACAATTTTCAGGTCCTTTTCGCCAGCGTCTAACCTATGTTGTAGTTCTTTCTCGGCTTCCCGTCTTTTAACACGGTCTGCCAACGGTAGGTCCTTTCGGATAAAGACTCCCGAACCCTTTAATTTGTGTCCATTTTGTAAAATTAGGTCACGTTCGTTTGAAGAGCCGAATACTACTTTAAGCAGTCTGGAATGATTTGGTTTCGAGTCCGTTAGACTCCCTAGTCTATACACCTTTAGCAAGGTGACCCCAGTCATATTTTGAGGCATGAGTTGATTAAGCAGCTGCCTAATCAGTACAATGTCATGCTCAAAACGAGCTTTAGGTTCAGAGCTATCGCTCTCCTTAATTCTATGAAAAATAGCTGATCTGTCGCTATGATCAGCTTTCGATTTTTCAACTACTTTTACGGGGGCAGGGTTCCCTTTTATATCAATACTTTTCTTCCTTACAACCTTTACCCATTCGTTAACGCTGCTGGTAGAAGCAATAGCAGTTGCGTCAAAACTAGTGTTGGGTTTTGGGGGGTTGTCGACGACCTGAGGGGTCGTGTTATGTTTACCATTTGAAACCGATCAAGCCTTGCGATTGCGGCTCCTAGGTGTTTCCTGTTGGATCCCATCTGGGAGACGGGGAACAGAAGACCCTACTTTTCTTGAGCTTTTTTTTAAGCCAGACCCCTTTGGAGAGTGCTTTTCCTTCTTCGACGGGCGTGAGTCATCTATCACCGGACTCACCTTAGTTTCCTTCACATTGATTTGCGTGTCAACAGATCGAGTGCTGTTTGACGCGTTCCGACTATGCTTGTTGAAACACTTCTTTGCAGCATCAACCAGTGAGATAGCCTCGGTTAACAAGCTGTTTGCATCCGAGCAGCACTGTTGACAAAGCCACACACAACCCTTCTTACTGAACCGTTTGAAAGCAGCAGGCGTTAAGTTCGTGCAAACTTCGTGGTACCAGCCTTTGCACTCGTCGCACTGCATGCCGCTTTCAACAGGATAACGACAACCAGGACGTTGGCAACTGCTTTTTTTACACTGTCCGGTCATTTAGGAGGGTTTTTTTCAATATGCGATGATACCCAGAAACAAAAAAATTATCAATGACCAAAAAAAGTGAAGAGCTGTAGATTGCTAGGACCAAAAGTACTAACAGATACAGTTGAAAAAGAGGTACTAAATAGTACCAACGATAAAACAGTAAAAACGATACTTTAGTCGAATACTTTAACTGAAATAAATTCAATTAAAGTGAAAAACAGTAGTCTTGATACGTAATAAACGATCAAAACAATGAAATTTACTCAGCGAGGAAAAATACCACTGTCCTTTTTAAATAGCGCGTGGTCTTAAATTCAAACTGAAACGTTTTGGAATCCATAACACAGTCGTCGATTGGATAAGTAACTTTCTCCATGACAGGAGACAAAGGGTAAGGGTTAATGGGGCTCTCTCCTAGTGGGTACCTGTAAAAAGTGTGGTTCCCCAAGGCACAATCCTAGGTCCTCTTCTCTTTTTACTTTATGTAAATGAATTGCCAACTGTAGCAAAATCATCCGTTCTACTCTTCGCTGATGACATAAAGATTTGGAGACCCATACATAGTATGTCGGATAGAATAGTATTACAGGACGATCTTAGCTCATTGGTGGCATGGTTAGACAGGTGGTCACTAGAAGTAAATCCTAATAAGAGTGTAGTGATGCAGTTAAATAACTCAGATGAATCGTATGACTATACACTACGTGGATTCGTGCTACCCAAAGCAAGAAACTATAAAGACTTAGGAGTTATATTAAGCAATGATCTCAAAACGACTAGTCACTGTAAGGCTGCTGCTGCAAAAGGCTATAGGGTATTATGGTCAATTCGTAGGTCTTTCCAGTATTTAGATGATGAAATGTTTGGATTACTATACCCGATTTATGTGCGACCACATTTAGAATACGGGATTCAAGCAGCGAGTCCTTGTTTCAAATATGAAGCAGATATGCTAGAAAGAGTCCAACGACGGGCTACTAAGATGGTACAAGGTCTAGCTGGCCTATCTTATGAAGACAGACTGAGACACCTTAACTTATTTCCGTTATCTTACCGTAGAGTACGGGGTGATCTAATATTGGCTTATCGTATACTGAACGATGACCTTGGTATTAACATGTCTTATCTTTTGCTTCCGTCTAGAACCGATCATTTGAGAGGACATTCGAAGAAAGTTCAAAAACCGAGATCAAACCGTTTACGTCTGGAGTTCCGTTTCTCGCACCGAGTAGTGAATTACTGGAATTCCCTACCGGAACACGTAATATCAGCACCGTCTGTTAATATATTCAAAACGAGATTGGACCTCCACAGTATTACAAACTGCAAGGATTAATATAGGTCGACAGACCTCCTATCCTTAAGACTGAAGACTGAGTACTCCTTTCACAGGATAACACTATGTTCAAAGATTAGGCCTAACAGTCAGGTTTGAGTTGATTGAAGAACACGTGACCTGCAAGCCAGTTTCCTCCAATCACCCATAGCATGTTACTATGTTCACTTTGAGCTTATATTTCGCATACAAGGACGTTATTTTATTACATGAAAAATTCATCTGCTCAGTGGTCTTGTCTATGATTTCGAATTATTTGGGGGCCAAAATATATTATGCTGTTTTATAAGTATCCATTACTGGATTACATGACACCATTGCGTTCATCAATCGGTTATCAGTTTGAAATTACGCCCTAAACGGAAAAGCTTTACAACACAATATAATCACACAGATACAACCCGCCAACAATAGCAACTTAACCAAACAAAAGTTCAAATGGTTCAAATGGTTGTGGACGGAATAGAAGAAGCTTTCGCTTAACAGGCTTCCGTGTCTAGTAGCAGGGGATCACCAAAACCTCCAGGCAGGAACCTAGGTATGTTAACAATAACAGAGGAAAAGAAATTAGTAAATCATAGTGTGATACTATCCTTAGTCCTTAAGAATAGATCAAGTTGTCTCTTAAAGTATTCTTGGGAATTCGCTTGGACTAGCTCGGCCTGCAGCGAATTCCAGCTTTTGACAACTCTTAAGGAGTAGATGTTGTGTCAACAGTCCGTTCTGCTATGTTGTGTCTCCAGGTTTTGGTTGTTACCCCTTAGGTTTGTGTTGGAACTAAGCTTAAGTAGGTGTTTGTGAGGATGTCTAGAAGTGTTAAGGATACTGTAAGCCACCAGAAGGTCACCTCTAAGACGTCTATACTCTAATGGGTAAAGGTTAAGTGAATGGAGGCGCTCTTCATAAGGCTTAAATTTGAGTCCTCATACTGATTTCGTGGCTCGCCGTTGGATACGCTCCAGAGTGTCCTTATACTTTTGGAGTTAGGGAGGAAGTACTATGTTTCCGTACTCTAAATAGGGGCGGATAAAACCATTGAAGATTATATGGAGAGTTCTTTCGTCGAACTGTTCAAAAATGCATTTCAACGTTACCTGTGCAAGGTTTGCTCGGAAGGCATTTTTGTCACAGTAAGCGTAAGACTTTAAATCATGGGGCACCAGGACTACTAAATCTTTTTCGACTTGGGATACTACTAGAGAGGAGTTTCCTAAGTTATAACTGTAGTCTGCGACATGTCGCAGATGGACTACTTTACACTTTGAAGTGTTAGAAGTAAGTCCATTATTATCTGCCCAACTTTGGAGTCGAGTCAGATCCTCCTGAAGTGGCAGTATATCGTCTTGATTGCGTATCTCTCTCCAAAGTTTCACGTCGTCGGCAAAAAGTAATAAGTCTGACGTTACCTGTTGAGAAAGATCATTTATGTAGACCAAGGAGAGAAGAGGTCCCAGTACTGAGCCCTGGGGGACCCCACTAGGACATTCCATAGCCTGAGATAAAGTGAAATTAACCCTAACCTTAAAGTGCTGATTTTTTAGGTATGATGTAAGCCAATCGATTAGAGGTGGTTTGATACCCAGTCGTTTGAGCTTATTGGTAAAACACAAGTGGTTAACCTTATCAAAAGCTTTTGAGAAATCAAGGTAAATGACATCAACCTTTCCCTTGCGATCGAGGATGCTTGTCCATCTGTCCACCGCAGTCAGCAGGTTGGTTATACAAGAGTAACCCTTTCTGAAACCATGCTGTTGGGGTGAGAAGAAATTTAAAGACAGTAAATAGTCATATATACGATCGCATATCAGGGACTCCATGATTTTTGAAGGTATTGAGAGAAGAGCCACCGGTCGGTAACTTGAACTTTCGCTGCGTCGACCTCCTTTAAAAATTGATGTGATGTGAGCCAGCTTCCGAATTTCCGGTAGTCTTCCTCGGCTTAGCGAGTGTGAGAACATCATGCTAAGCGGCATTGCCAGGATTGAGGCTGCCTCCCTCAGTATGGCAGAATGGACCATATTCGGGCTAGAAGTGTCCATTCTTAAGTGCTGCACTTTTCGGAAGACCATGTCAGCGCTCAGGTTCACTTCGAAAAGTCCTTTGGAGTTGCAGATGAAGCTTTCGTCAGTATATTTGATATTGGTCAGTTTAAATGTCCGAGAGTATTGTTCAGCCAAAAGGTTAGCGGCGTCGCCATCGTTGTTGGTCGGGCCGTCAAGACCTACCAGTAGGGAAACTCCAGTCTTGGCTTGACGAAGAGAGGCTGCATAACGGAATAAGGTTTTCGGATTAAAGACAAATTTGTCCATAAGCTTTGTCTGGTTCTGAAGCCTGTCACCTCTTATAGCATTCGTGCAATTGTTTTTTATATGTTTGTATTGCCTGTACGAGCCGTTATTGTCAGTTCGTTTGTACTCTGCCCAACAGTGCCTTTTGTGGCTTAGCAGGCGAGGAGTACGGTTCCTGATGTTTGTGGGTTGATGATAACTATGGGCGACCGTTTGAGGAACTGTATAATTTGTAGCACATATGAGCGTGTGCAGTAAGAAGTCCCACTGACCGCCCACATCGAGTTGAGGGTGAACATCCCAATCCTCCTGTTGAAGATAGTCCTGTAGAGCTGACGCATTCAAATTCCAGAGCAGTTTTGCTGACAAAACTGAAGGCTATAACAACGTGATCGCTTTTCCCTAGGGGAGCTAAGGTTGAGAGGTTGTAAACTAGAAATTCTCCGTTTGTAAATATATAATCTAAGCTCGACGGTGTCTGACTGTTTCTCCAACGAGTTGCCTACTTTTCATTTTCGTTTAATCCCAAATCTTCAATGAGGTTGAAGAATCGAGCTTCAGTTAATTTTTTCCCTCCAATACACTGTGTTCTGAGAAATCGACTCTAGGGTTACAGAAGTCTCCGAGAATCAGGATATGAGTGAAACCGAGACGAGTAGAGCGGGATAATCCTTCCAGCATACGACTGTCGTACTCGATGTCGGCGGTGGGCTTCCTGTATATGAGTCCGACTAGACACCTCGAAGTAGCAGACAATCTTACACAGCACTATATGGATTCCTCAAGATTGGTAAGTTCGAGGTTATGAACTTGGTGTACCTCCAAGAAAAGTCGTATGTACATGACTACTCCACCCCCAATTCCTGATTTCCTGTCGTTGCGAAACAAAGACATTCCAGGGACTGCTAACTCCTGGTCCGATAACTGAGAAGATATCCGTGTTTCAGGGATTCCTATCAGATAAGCAAAATTAACATTGCTAAGCTCATGTAGCTTATCCATTTTATTTGGTAGACTCACGGCGTTCATGTATAGGGAGTTTATGCTTTCGATTTGAAATGTGTGAGCTTCTTCATGTTTGTTTGTATGAGCCTTATGTGAATGGACAGGTAGCCTACCTATATAAGGTTTGCCGAGTTGATAGACCCTCTCATTTGCACGTTTTTTTATCATCGAGACAATCCACAAGTGGAATGGTCAGCTCCATCTTGCCTTTGTGCTTGGCCCTGGCTTCATATGACCTATCCGGGTGCACGTAGATTGCAGTTGGCAACCGACGTCTGTTGGGACGAAATGCTTCCAGAGTTGCAGACGCTGTATGGGAGGATGGGAAAGTTATCCTCACTAGCCGGGGTCTAGAATCACTATCCTTCTTGGTTAGTCTCGTCATATGTTGAGTGAGTATGTTTTTGAGCCTCAAGAACTGTTTGATGAATTTCCATTCCCCAATATCTGAATTTGCTTGACTAGGGTCCATGTTTTCCGGTACACCTTGCACAATTATATTTCTTTCGAGGAAATACTTCTAGCGATATTCTTAAGGGATGTTCCGGATGAGACTGTGCTCGGAATACGGTATTTTGGGCAGTATTCTTACGTTCCCATCTGATTTCATTAAATGACTCGCTAGCAAGATATCTTCTACGTCGGTAGCGTTCTTAAGTGTTACACGAAGTAGCCTCGGTGATTATGATGTTTAGATTCCTTCCCACGAGTGAGCCGTGTGACCGTCAAAGACTCTATTCTTGGAAGTTCAAGTTTCTTGTTCAGTTCTCCCCAGAGCATCCTATAATTTTTGTCCTGCAAACTGAGAGGAAGGTCAGGGTTGTCTTTGAGCTTCATGACTATGAGAGAGTCATCACGAACCGTTATTGTCGTCCCAGGTTTTCCTGGGCGTTCAGGTTTAGCACCTTGTTGTCTGGCAGTCTGTGTACGTTAATGAATCCTAGGCTCTTTGATGACCGGACGGACATTCTTGGAGGTAGACTGTGCGTCGAAATCACCAGTTGATTTCCATACAACACTTGGGATGCTCAGCTTAGACGGTGACGCCTGGTTCTCTTGAGCTCTGTTAACGTGGGTCCAATCACTTACATAGTTTTGGGGACCACGATCGCATTCCAGGTCCCTGAGCTAAGAGGCTCGAGTTTACTGAGTGAGTCTATTACCGTTGACATAATGATGAGGTTGAGTTTCAACGTGTCATAATTAGTGATAATGCATGTTCATCGATGGTAGACCTGTCGACATCCCTGTTCTTGTTTTCGTTGCGCGCACGTGTTTGTGTACCCGTTTCATGACTGTCTTTTTCCAAATTTCCTGACAACTTATTCCGCAGACCTGTCAATAGGACAATGATGTTATTCAGCAAGACTACAGCATCAGTGCTGCACGTGACACATTTCCACATATGATCAGACTTGCTGAGACTGTTGTACGCAGTTCCTGTGAGATCTGTGCATGCTTCGTGGAACCAAACTTTGCAGTTGTCGCACTGCATGACAGATGTAACAGCAAAACAGCATCCAGGTAGTTTGCATGATTTTTTCATAACTGTGAAGATGCCACAGGTATTCGGAGTTTGACAACGCTTTAACCAGTAACACCTTCTAACATGAGTCGTACCCACCAAGTGAAATCAAAAGACAGAAGCGAGGAGGTTCGAAGGTATATTTGATGGGCTATCAATATATCGAGGATCGTCTGATCTAATCTGGCTAGCGGTTGCAGGGGTTGTTGAGCACGGCGTCCCCACTTGTGATCTGGTGCGGATGCATGACCGAGCGCCTTCAGCTAAGTGAGTCCATTGAAACTAATGTGATCAGCATCCAATGTCGAAGACTTACAGAGCTATTTATTTTGGGAATTTATTTACCGCCACAATTATATTGACGTAAACTGTGTTATAGATGCTAGCGTAAGACTAAAACTTTCAAAAATACACTTAAAAGCACACTGAAAACGGGCAAAAATGGATAGAAACGGGCGAGGTAAACTGAACTAGCCTTTGCGTGAAAAACTGAAATAAAACCCGAGTAGTAAGCTGAGGCAAAAGCATAGTTAACTGTTAAATTGGGTGAAACTCGAAAAAGAGTAACCTACCGAATGTATAGCTTAGAATAGATTCTTTCGATCAGAAACGGTACTTTTGTTGCGTAAAAACACAATAACGTTAGGACCAAACTTCCCGTTCGAAAAGCGCGCTTCCCATGTTAGGCATTTCAGCAACTTAATGAACCCTAGTGGTTTGATGCTTGGTGAAATTTTAACGCGATTTCGAAAATCTCGCTTCGGGTCTCCCAGCTCAGGGTCCCTGAACACAACAGTGGTTCCCAAAAACCCTGCAGGTGATTCGACCCACGTTAAGAGAGCCCAAAAGAACCAGGCATCACCGCCTAAGCCGAGCAACCCAAGTGTTGCTGCACGGAAAATAACTGGTAATTTAGTCGCACAGTCTACTCCCAAGACTGTTCGTCCGGTCGATAAAGAGCCCAAGATTCATAAACGCACACTGACCTCCAAACAACAAGTTATTAAACCTGAACCCATCGTGAAACCTGGTAAATTAACAACAGTTCGTGACGATTCTCTCATTATCATGAACCTCGTTGACAATCCTGATCTTCCTCTCAGTCTGCAGGACAAAAACGACAGGATGCTGTGGGGTGAATTGAACAAGAAGCTCGAACATCCTAGAATAGAGCCTTTGATGGTCACCTGGCTCACTCGAGGAAAGGATTCTAAGCATCTAAATCACCCGAGGCTTCCCCGAGTAACACTTAAGAATGCTACCGACGTAGAGGACGTCTTGCTAGCAAGTCACTTGCTGAAATCAGATGGTAACGTAAGAATATTGCACGATATACCATACTCTGAGCGCAATATCATACGAAACGTCCCTAAAGAATCTCGCGAGAAGTTTTTCCGCAGAAGAAACATAATTGTCCAAGGTATACCGGAAAATGCAGACCCTACTCAATCAAATTCTGACATCAGGGAATGGAAATTCATCAAACAGTCCTTGAGGCTCAAACACATACTGACTCAGCATGTGACGAGACTAGCCAAGAAGGACGGTGATCTTAGACCCCGTCTAATGAAGATAACCTTCCCATCTTCCCACATGGCGGCTGCAGTTCTGGAAGCATTTCGTGCTAATAGACGTTGATTGCCACCTGGAATCCACATGCACCCGGATAGGCCATACGAAGTTAGGACCAAGAACAAAGGCAAGTTGGAGCTGACCATTCCACTTGTGGACTGTCTAAACGATAAAAAAACGTGTAAAGGACAGGGCCTACCACCTCGGCAAACCTCATATAGGTGGGCTACCTGTCCATTCACATAAGGTTCATACAGAAAAACAGGAAGAAGCTCACGCGTTCCAAATTGAAAGCATAAACTGTTTATATATGAACGCCGCGAGTCTACCAAACAAACTGGATGAACTACGTGAACTTAGCAACGCTAATAAGGCCCATCTGATAGGAATATCTGAAACCTGGATATCTTCTCAGTTCTCGGACCAAGAGTTAGCATTACCTGGGATGACTTTGTTCCGCAACGACAGAAAAACAGGAATTGGGGGCGGAGTAGCCATATACATAAGCTCTTGCTTGGAGGTGCACCAAGTTCACAACCTCGAGTTTAACAATCTTGAGGAATCCATATGGTGCTCTGTAAGATTGTCTAGTACTTCCAGGTGTCTAGTCGGAGTCATTTACAGGAAGCCAACTGCCGACACCGAGTACGATAGTCGTATGCTGGAAGGACTATCCCGCTCTATCCGTCTCGGTTTCACTCATATCCTGATTCTAGGGGACTTTAATCTCCCTAGAGTCAACTTCGCGGAACACACGTATACTGGAAGCGATAACTCAACTGAAGCTCGGTTCTTCAACCTCATCGATAACTTGGGTTTATATGAAAATGTGAGGTCGGCAACTCGTTGGAAAAACAGTCAGACACCATCGCGCTTAGACTGTGTATTCACTAACGAAGAATTCCTAGTCGACAACCTCTCAATCCTGGCTTCTCTGGGAAAGAGCGATCATGCCGTCATAGCCTTCAGTTTTGTCATCAAAACTAAGCTAAGGTATCCCAACAATAATTTGCGTTGGAATTTTAAACGGCTGAATGTGCCAGCTCTACATGACTATCTACAACAGGTGGTTTGGCATGTTCACCCTCAACTCCATGTGGATGGTCATTGGGACTTCTTACTGCACACGCTCTTATGTGCTACAGACCATTCAGTTCCTCAAACGGTTCCCAAAAGCTGCAAGCCACCTACAGTAATCAAGAACCGTACCCTTCGCCTGCTAAGCCGCAAAAGGCACTGTTGGGCGGAATACAAACAAACTAATAACGATGGAGCGTATAGGCAATATAAACATATCAGGAACATATACACGAAGGCTATAAGAGAAGACAGGCTTCAGTACCAAACAAAGCTTATGGACAAATTCGCCTCTAACCCTAGAAGCCTATTCCGTTATGCAGCCTCTCTTCGTCAAGCCAAAACAGGAGTTTCTCAACTGCTAGGTCTTAACGGCCCGACCAACAACGATGGCGACGCCGCTAACCTTTTGGCTGAACAATACTCTCGGACATTTAAACTGACCAATATCAAATATACTGACGAAAGCTTCATCTGCAACTCCAAAGGACTTTTCGAAGTGAACCTGAGCGCTGACATGGTCTTCCGAAAAGTGCAGCACTTAAGAATGGACACTTCTAGCCCGAATATGGTCCATTCTGCCATACTGAGGGAGGCAGCCTCAATCCTGGCAATGCCGCTTAGCATGATGTTCTCACACTCGCTAAGCCGAGGAAGACTACCGGAAATTCGGAAGCTGGCTCACATCACATCAATTTTTAAAGGAGGTCGACGCAGCGAAAGTTCAAGTTACCGACCGGTGGCTCTTCTCTCAATACCTTCAAAAATCATGGAGTCCCTGATATGCGATCGTATATATGACTATTTACTGTCTTTAAATTTCTTCTCACCCCAACAGCATGGTTTCAGAAAGGGTTACTCTTGTATAACCAACCTGCTGACTGCGGTGGACAGATGGACAAGCATCCTCGATCGCAAGGGAAAGGTTGATGTCATTTACCTTGATTTCTCAAAAGCTTTTGATAAGGTTAACCACTTGTGTTTTACCAATAAGCTCAAACGACTGGGTATCAAACCACCTCTAATCGATTGGCTTACATCATACCTAAAAAATCAGCACTTTAAGGTTAGGGTTAATTTCACTTTATCTCAGGCTATGGAATGTCCTAGTGGGGTCCCCCAGGGCTCAGTACTGGGACCTCTTCTCTCCTTGGTCTACATAAATGATCTTTCTCAACAGGTAACGTCAGACTTATTACTTTTTGCCGACGACGTGAAACTTTGGAGAGAGATACGCAATCAAGACGATATACTGCCACTTCAGGAGGATCTGACTCGACTCCAAAGTTGGGCAGATAATAATGGACTTACTTCTAACACTTCAAAGTGTAAAGTAGTCCATCTGCGACATGTCGCAGACTACAGTTATAACTTAGGAAACTCCTCTCTAGTAGTATCCCAAGTCGAAAAAGATTTAGTAGTCCTGGTGCCCCATGATTTAAAGTCTTACGCTTACTGTGACAAAAATGCCTTCCGAGCAAACCTTGCACAGGTAACGTTGAAATGCATTTTTGAACAGTTCGACGAAAGAACTCTCCATATAATCTTCAATGGTTTTATCCGCCCCTATTTAGAGTACGGAAACATAGTACTTCCTCCCTAACTCCAAAAGTATAAGGACACTCTGGAGCGTATCCAACGGCGAGCCACGAAATCAGTATGAGGACTCAAATTTAAGCCTTATGAAGAGCGCCTCCATTCACTTAACCTTTACCCATTAGAGTATAGACGTCTTAGAGGTGACCTTCTGGTGGCTTACAGTATCCTTAACACTTCTAGACATCCTCACAAACACCTACTTAAGCTTAGTTCCAACACAAACCTAAGGGGTAACAACCAAAACCTGGAGACACAACATAGCAGAACGGACTGTTGACACAACATCTACTCCTTAAGAGTTGTCAAAAGCTGGAATTCGCTGCAGGCCGAGCTAGTCCAAGCGAATTCCCAAGAATACTTTAAGAGACAACTTGATCTATTCTTAAGGACTAAGGATAGTATCACACTATGATTTACTAATTTCTTTTCCTCTGTTATTGTTAACATACCTAGGTTCCTGCCTGGAGGTTTTGGTGATCCCCTGCTACTAGACACGGAAGCCTGTTAAGCGAAAGCTTCTCCTATTCCGTCCACATCCATTTGAACCAAGACTCGATGCCACACTACAAGTTTCTTAAAACTGTACTACGTAATTTTGAAGTTACGATAGCGAGAACATAATAAATACATTCTTATGAGTATCAAACATATAGGAAAATAGATCGGACGTAATAAAGAATAGCAAATTCTGTGCTGGAGTGTTGGAGAATGTATTAGTTTATATATATGATCTATTAAAATTATTGGTTATTTTACTTTATTTTGTTCCCTCTATTATACACTGAACTATCCAATTGAATAACCGGATAAGTAGAACCACAACTAGAATGTGTTTTATTGTTATTCACACACTAAAGGTAAATATTCCTGAGAATTGTTTAAACTTTATGTAATATAGAGTTTCATTTTACTGGTCACAGAGATTGTATTTATTAATATAATAAGAATAAGCAGGAGTAGATAAATTCAATATTATGTAAAATACTAAAAAATATTTAGCAAAACTCTCAGGATCTATTTATTTCGATATCTCAATACTGTTACAACGATATCTGTTGTCGTTATTATACAGATTATTCATAATGCAACAAAATTTCGAAAATGTGGGTGGGAATATATTTCAGCAATAATGGACTCTTCTGATGGTTCTTGAAGTTTACAGCTACAATAAATCAAACAAATAAATATGAGACGGGTTTTGTGAATATTATAGTAATTTCAATGGTTGAGATCATGAGTCAGTTGAAGCACTGGATGGCAATTTCGAAACTGACTCATGATCTCAACCATTGAAATAAATATGAATTGATTTTTAGTAAAATTATTTCTAAAATATGATCTCTAGAATAAAAATAAGTTAACTAGTAAATCTTTTTTGCTTGTTAGTTTAAACACAATTCCTAATGAACTTAATACAAGTTTGTATCACCTTCATAATATTACTATCATATGTATCAAATAATGGAAAGTAGCTCATATATATTAGAGCTCTTTATCAATATTTGAACGATCCAATCTAAATCATCTCGTAGAGTAAGTAATATTTGAGGTAAAATAGATCATTTTGTAAAGATTTTAAGTTTCAATATGACCTGTAGGATAACAAAAAATGAGTTTCTATGGTTCAGTCTTAAATTAAATTTGAGATTTTGTGGTAATTGCACAAACTAACGATTTTTTCTTCACTTGATTACCCGTTTATTACAAATACTCCCGTTTGTGCTCATCTAGTTCTGTATGGCTTAAATTGCACTGTTTCGGTAAATCCTAGTTAGTACATTATTTCGAATACTTCTAATCATCATAGATTGACACCACCGAATATTTTGAAAGTAGAACGAAATAACTGATTTTCCATGACTCACTGGTTGAAGTCATTTCATGATCCCAATTGTTATTAATGTATTTTAAAAATTACGATTGACATTTAAACTATCTTCATAATAAATAATACCCTAAGTAATAATAACATTAAAAGTGCTAGACCATGTTCTTACTTTTGACTTGTTAACAAAAAAAGTTGATCATTACTAGAAGCTTCATTTAACAAATAATACAATTCCAAGTAAGATTTAATTCACATGAAAACCAATCCTTTCTTTCATTTACTTTTTAATATAATTTATTAAATTTAATAATAAAATTAGTAAAGTATCGTGTGTGCAGAGTGTTAGGTCCCGGTAAGAATAATAAATTGTAACTTTTGGAATCCATTTGTGGACCAATAATATACGTATAGTTTTATCGTATAATTGTTAAATAACTAAACTATTTATATTCATACCCCTCGTATTATGAGCTTTATTTTGCCTTATGAACTATTATTATGCGATTTACCATTCTTGAGTTATTCCCTGTTTATTAATTACTACTGCCCTCATTCACAGCCACATTTGGCCAAATCTTGTACAGATGTTGTTTCCTATTTTATTGGTACGATGTGGTCTGTCTGGTTGGTGTATAAACCCAGTGTGCTTTAAATAAATGATTGATATCGCAGAGGCTGATATTGCTGTTCTGGACTTAACTGGCTGAGCTAGGCGGAAAGCAGGACCAATCAGGACTCTAGGCTGCTCGTACGGGTTTTACGTGTCATTGGTTCGATCGATAATTATTCACTGCTCTCTAATTGGCGGTATCATTACGTATACATTAGCCGGGCACACAGGTTACAAGTTATAACACAGAGTTTGAATATTTCTAATTATTAAATCACTGTAAAATATAATTTATTTTCATGAATAAATATGCGTGAAAATATTATTTAACTGGTTTGATCTAATAAGTAGCAAACAGCAGTTCGACAGGTATAACGATTCGAAACCAGTCAAATATTGTACTAATGAGTGAATTACTTCTTTAACCCTTGTAAGGTTCTATTGCTAAACTTAATTTACGCTAAAAAGCAAATTTGAATTGTATTATTATTAGTATCACTTTTGTAATCAAACAACTTATAATTTTATTATGAAATTGATAGCTTCCGTAACTCTGTATTTGATGAGTAAACTATGATATTGTAATAAAAAAAGATCCTAATACCACTGATTTCCATATCATATTTGACAATATGATATATATTGAAAGAGAAAGGTGATTTATGAAGATTATGCTTTTTAAGCGAATATCCTATTTGAATATGAACACCAATAAACAAATCTAAGTAGTATTCCAGTTATTGCCTGAAACTAAATGAATACTTATTAATTATAGTTTTATCTCTGATCCTACTTACTCTTTTTCCGAACAGAGACTTTAATTTTGGTTCTACATCATACTTAGTTCAGCTTCACAAAAATCAACCAACATCTTTATTGGCAAGAGTTCATATTTTTTAGTTGTTGATATTTAGGACTGCAATTGATCAGTCTTTATTGATACATATCCCTACGAATCAGACTGTCTCAATTTTGTCATTTAGTTACAATTTTTAATAAAGCTGGGTTCTCGCCATCATTGTAATCATCCACAATCCTTAATATTAAGTAAGAGACTTTAGAAACCCTTCTAAATAAATGTATACCCATTGAAAAAAATAGTGGCTTTTTGTACTCAATAACTGAGTGAATAATGAGTTAATGTTTGAAGTAATAGATTCAACGGTTTAGATCTTAGGGTAAATATCAACACTGAGATGAAGATGCATCTACCTGAAATGTCCCGAATGCGATGAAATGCGAGTTCTGGGTTTGTCTGCTGGTTATAACTTTACTAATAATAAATTATGAAATTTGGCCAAAATAAATATACTAAATAGCATTTGCGATAACATGAAAACTAACCGGAATATTTCATCCAACGTTATGGGAATCATCTCAGTAGTTGATCGTCGTCTGAGAAAAGATAATGATGATACTAATAAGTGCGTTGATCTATATTTCGATGTTTCATCTTCATCACTTCCAGTATTATGATGATGAGAAGAACAAACCTGATTTGAAGAATGTCCAATAGGTTCCTCAAAATTACTGACATCATTTCTCATTATTTCAAATGGTTGATTCTGAATCACCGATATATCCGGTTGTAAATCACGTCGATGTAAAAATGACTGAATAAGAGTTTCAAAATTTTTTTCAAAATAAACAGTTATGATAAAATAATATCTCATATCATTAAACAAAAACAAACAGTATTTAATTGTTGGATGAATAACTGACAGACACCTAACTGATAATGAAACCGAACAGTTTCTAATTGCTGAAGAAATATTGGTTACAAAAGTTATTAGCTGAATTCTGTCACCAAATCCCAAATTGAATGCACTAAGGATCTTATCTCTAAACTTAAGATAGAATCCTTTGGTTATGACAAAATTGTTATGGATTTAAATATTGTATGTCGTATTAAACTTATTAACTTCATTCGCGATGTTCAGTCGAAAACCAGTCACAAATTCATGAAGACATTAAACAAAACACTTGTTAAAGAACAAAACCACGTGGCATTTCCTACCAATCCACGAAAATACATACAGAACTTATCTAATAAAAAACTAAGTCGAATTGAAACGGAAGCACTCTGCCTTGGATTCAAATTTCATATCCCAAGAAAATGCAACAGAGTAGACACTGAAACGCAGTTTGAATATTTATATCAACAATTGTCAGACCTTAAACCCATGAACGACGAAAAGCATAGTTGGTTTAAATCTAAATTAGTGGATATCACAAACCAGTATGTTACGACACCAATCCCACACTCAAGGGTGTTCACCGAAGATCACCATCAAGCATTGGAAAAACTTATTAAAGACGAAACAATAATGCAACTTCGTCTGGATAAGGGTTCCAGTTTAGTCATTCTTAACAGAGATGAATATAATAATAAGGTAATGTTCATTTTAAATAACTCCACCAGATTTATCATCGACAATACCCAGAAAGACTTAACAGATGCGACAGAGAAACGTGTCTTAAGAAAGTTGAGAGAACTCTTTAAGAAAAATCTAGTAGATAATCATACGTATAACGAACTCAAACCAAAAGGGTCACAATTGCCATACTTATATGGGCTACCCAAAACACATAAACCCGACATCCCTATAAGACCAATATTATCTATGGACAAATCACCCTTTCATAAACTTGCCCGCTGGCCGACTAGATGCTTAGAACCAATCCGCAAGAAACTAGCAACCTACAGTTTGAAAGACAGCTTTGAATTTGTACAAAAACTTGATAACCTTAATGTCTCTGACAAATTCATGGTTTCATTTGATGTCTCTTTGCTTTTCACAAATATCCCCTTGGAAGAAACGGCAGAGATCATATGTGAATATCCAGAACTCCTGCCTTTACCAACCCAGAAATTTAAACAGTTCCTGTTTTTGTGTGCAAAACACATACAATTTAAATTTATCAATGTTCTGTACCGCCAGATTGATGGAGTAGCAATGGGCAGCCCTCTGGGCCCAATTCTTGCCGACATATTTATGGTGCATCTGGAACAAAAGAAACTTAAGCACGCAATCGAAAGTACCACAATCTACTGCAGATACATGGATGACACGTTCCTTGTCTGCAAAAATCACCAACACTCCATGTACCTACTTAGTCTGTTCAGTAAAGTACACAAAGATATAGAATTTACCATGGAACATGAAGTTGATGATAAATGCCGTTTCCTAGATATTGGAATTAGGCGAACATCAGATGGCACACTACAAAGACACATTCACCGCAAAAATATTTGGAGCGGAGTTTATCTCAACTTTAACAGCTTCTGTTCAATGAGTTATAAAAAGGGTATTGTGCGAAACCTTTTTGACCGCGCACGAAAAATCTGCTCAAAAGAATGCCTCGAAGAAATTACTACAATCACCAAATGCCTACGTGAAAATGCATATCCGGATAAATTCATCCACAAATATGCTAATACAAACCCTCCGATTAAGCATGATACAGTTGAAAAGAAAACCTGCTTCCTATCCTTACGCTTCAAAGGAGATGAAGTCGCCGGAATTATCAATCACAGAATTAATTCCGCTTTAAAAGTGACCTACCCGGCAGCCAAACTGACTACGTTATGGAAAACATACTGCTCACTGAAACAAACGAAAATCGACAAGTCCTCTCCCCTCAGTTGCTCCAACTGCATTTACCAATTCACATGTACGTGCCGTAGCACATACATTGGAAGAACTGAGAGAAGAGTACAGGTTCGCATTTCTGAGCATATTCCGAAGAACTTGACGCTGCGAGGGACTAAAGCTTTTAACAGTGCAATAGCTCGGCATCTACTTGACACCGGGCATACTGTCGATATTATGCGCGCGTTTGAAATAATCAATAGACAAAGAACTACTACCACTCTCCGCTTTGCTGAAGCCATTGCAATTAAGAAACTGAAACCGGACTTATGCATCCAAAAAGAGACTTTAATAAACTTATCACTACCCTGGTAATCTTTTTGTTTCCGTTCGTTTTTTGTGTTTTGGTTACTTGGTTATTTTATTCATTTACTGATTTTAAGATATTTTATACTCCCCCCCTTATTACCTAATTCTTAAACTAAAAAAATTTTATTCACACACGTCCACCACCTGATCCTCTTAAATTATCTTAACTTTCCAAATTCTATTTAATTATTATTACGTAATCTACCTTATCATTATTCAATTCCATTAATCTCTCTAATTATCACACAATTTATGAACTTCACTAAACTATTACACCACCCAACCTGAATTAACCCCTTTTTTGACCTCTGATGTATATACATATATAGTTACTATTGTAATCCAGTTATGTCAATTGTTTCACACTATCTCCATGTGAAAAAATTCTATCACAATTTTGGTTTGTAAGCAGCTGACGAGAAACCTCGAAATAATATGAATTCATACTATTCTGCATCAATGTTTGTTCTTGCTCTATTTGAATAAATTATTGATTAATATGGAAATATGGCTATTTCTGAATTTAAAACAATGAAAATAGTTAATCTCAGATAATATAACATATATAGGATAATTCTATATCAATTAATCGTTTCAGTGTTGATAAGTCAATTAGTTGGTCATCATCATCAACATATAACCCTGCTTAGATGTGAGATAGTCCAAGTTGCCATACCAGAATAGCATGACAAGCTGGATACAAATAAATAAATAGCGAAAGCGATCGACATAATATGGTAACAATGACAATGAGAAAAGGAAGGTTATCTTCAAGTAGTTATTTTGCAGCATGTAGTGTATATTTTATTTTACAGCTTTGTTATAATAGCTACAACATTTTTATATCGATGTGCCTTATTCGAATATCCACCATGTGAAAGAATTCTTTTACTTTATTCCAAAAATTGATTCTAGACAAAACCAATATTATCGATGCTTATCAAGTATGTCCTCGGATTCGATCTAAATTAATCTTTACTAGTTTAAATTAAATGATACATTAGGGACCGAAGAACCCTCGCTATCCAGAAGATGGGATTAAAACTCTCCAAGTAACTCCAATTAAGCTGAACACCTGTTCCCTAAGAAAAATCAAACATCAAATAAATGAAGTAAGAAATAATATTTTGTGTTGAGATGAATTACAGTAAATAACCTGACCACGCTCATAAACTTTGCTCAAGACGCAAGCCTAGAAGAAGAACTTGCTATTACTACAACTTGCCTACGTAAAAATGCATATCCAAAGAAATTCGTCAAGAAATATGCCAAAACCAACGTACGTGCTAAACACGATATAGTAGAAGTGAAAACCTGATGCGCTGTAAAAGAGATGAAATCACTAGAATAATTAACTACAGGATGAATGACGCGATGAAGGCCGCTTATCCATTAGCAAGACTGAAGACGTTATATAAAACGGACTGCTCACCCAAACAAGCAAAAGTTGAAACGCTCTTCTTTCTTAGTACCTCCAATTGTATTTATAAATTTACATGCACATGCCAAAGTACATACATTGGAAGAGCAGAGAGAAGAGTACAGGTTCGCGTTTCTAATCACGCTCCAAAGAATTTAAGGCTGAGAGGTGCAACGTCTCTAAATAATGCAATAGCACGGAATTTAACTGATACCGTACATATCATTGAAATTCCACAACCCTTCGAAATTATTAGCAGACAAAAAATGCAGCATCTCTCCGGTTTGCCGAAGGAAACTTGAACCTGATTTATCTGTCCAGAAAGAGACAATGATCAACTTATCACGACCTTGGTAAATTATTATTTTTGTCATTGTCATTTTTAGTATTTTGCTAGCGTTTATTTTTTCATGTGATCTTCGTCAAACTTATTCTTATTTTATGTACCCCAAAATCATCACTTCAACTATCGGTTTTTTCATTCACTTAATTCCGCAAACTTATGTAACCCCGGTTACTTAATTAGTAACCCATCTTATAAAGTTCTTATTCTAGACAATTACTAACTCATAACCAAATGTCTCACATATTTATTTTCAAGTGATATGAATCTTATGTAAACGCTGCACAACCTGTATAAACATCACACACTTCGTCCTATATGTTTCCAGACTTCATGTAATTTCTACCTCAGTCACCTCTTGTTTTTAAATTCCATCTCCAAATGACCTTACATATGTTCTTACACAGATATATGTATATAGTTATTATTGAGAATCTTTGTTATCCTAGTTCTTTCTGTTATCGATGTTAGTTGTTTCACACTACATCGTACCTCAATGTTAGATTTTAGTACCATATACAGTTGGAAGTAGCTGATGAGAAACTATGAAATATTATGAATTCATATTATTCTACCTCAACTGTTGTTATGGCTTCATTCAAACAATCTGACTCTCCGTTATATTGCAACTCATTTTTGGATGAGTAATGTTTTTTGTTTCTAAAATAGCTTCCTATTATTATGAAATAGAAAAATTTAATTTATTTGGAGAGAGAAATATAGTTTGAAATAAAGTCACTCATGGTCATAGAGAAAACTAGCAAATGCAGTTAGTTTTATGTTCAGTATTTTGTATATATATGTGTTACTTTGTTAGAAGAGAAAATCTGGCATACTGTATAGTTGCTTTGTTTTTTGATATCAGTATGATTGATAGAATACGTCAATTATTTAATCCCGAGAGTAGCCTTTGATTGGCCACATCGTATCGTGAAATATTTTCCATCGATCGAGATCCCGTTTATTCGTTTCAGTCCTAATGCATAAAAAGATAAATACTAAGGTGTACTGTGTAACATTATAGTGTCGTTTTTGTTCTCAAACTGTCTTCAAACAACATGCCGTTAAGCGCTGAACATAAAAAATATTTGAAATAAACAGGTTATTATTGTTTAGTAAACAAATAATTACCTCGATTATGAATGCAGTAGTTAAACTGAGTATTCCAACGACAACAAATAGCCACCAACTAATCATATAAATGTGAACCCATCTAATTACAAAATAAACAGAAAATAAATTATTTTACATCTCAGCAATCTTTTTTTAGTATCACTGATCAAATGGATCTTCAATAAGTAAGCCTATGCCTGTTAGCAGTCCATCACAATGAAATATAAAAGATTACAGCTTCGATGTAATAAAACATTATAAACGTAATAATGGCGAAAAAATATTTTAAAGATAGTAGTCGAAAACTCTGAAATAAACTCATTGCACTACACAAAATATAGTTCTAAAGAGGAACTACGGCTCTACTATGTTAGCTGTGTAATGTTCATCATTAGATTATGATGAAGTAGCGAAAGAAAAACAGGTCCATCTCGACAGTTGACGGGTCTGAATGTGATCATGCTAGATTCTAAACAATTTGGGTCAAAGTGAACAGCTGCTTGTAGTAAACACAATGATCTTCTTTAATCATATTTCAACTAAAAGAAAAAACCCCGCTTCCACGATAAAAAATAGAATTTAAGTTTGAAGGAGACTATTATTTGACCAGTAGGATAATATAAATACATTTTGATTATACCCTGAAAACTATTAAATCACAAAGGGTATCAAACTGCCAATATAGCAAAACATAGATAAAATAAGCCTAATAGTCTTCGATGATAATCTTAACAGTTTTATATTCAATAGTCTCACATTACAATGAAACAAATATTCACTGGCCTTTAGACTTCACGAATTTCTCCAAAACAAACGACTATTAACCACTTAGAAAAGAAGAGACATATCTGTCAGAAAAATGTAAAGCATTTTTATTTCACACATTTTTTTCTTATCATAATGAATAAATTATGACTTTATTGATAGGACATTTAATAATATCAGAAGGGGTTTTGTGAATATTACAGTAATTTTTTTAATAGTTGAGATTATGAGTAACTGAAGCTAGATCACCATGGAAAACCTGGAAGCACTGAGGAGTTCCACAGTAGGAAGAAACGGCCACCTATTGCTTCCAGGTTTACATGGGGTTTAGATTCAATTGGCTCATATATCAACTATTAAAACATTTATTTAAAACACACTTGTTCTCTATTACACAATAGATAATGTATTTGTTTAAAGGCTTTTTTTCTTCTCATTTCTTCATAAAATTTAAGATTTAATTAAAAAAAGGATATAGGTTAGTTACAGTTATTTTTAAAAGTGCACGAAAAGAATAGTAAAAGGTCACTGATAAAATTAAATGTTATTTTATTAAAAACTTATACTAGATCATTAGCTAAGAAATAAATATTCTATACTATGTATGGATTGAATAAGACAAACAGAATTAATTAAAATATACACATTGTCTTTTACTTGATATTAATATCACCTAAATGACCGACCAATTCAAAAGAATCCTTCAAAGAATACTTACATAGACGTCTTCGGATAGGGTCCAACAATTTTGTTATCCATTTATCCAGGTTATGTGTAGGTGATCGGCACATTGATAAAATCGGGCATAGTTCTTGATCATCTTCGTCTTCTCATTACATTATCGAAACAAGTTTATTTATTAAAATTGCCTACTAATAAATCAGAAAATTATTGTGCGAAGTATGTTAGTAAGAGGAATTTTGTGAAAAAGAGACTTATAATATATCATGTATCATAACTTAAATAGTGAACGATAGTTTGTTTTCTATCATAAACTAATCGACGGAAAAAATGTTTTCAAGGATATCCTTTAACTAATTGTATCACATTATCCATAACCAAATCATTTGATGAGTTTAAACATAAGCACTAGAAATTTAGAAAAGCTAGACTACCTTTGAAAACCTGGAAGCACTAGTATGGGACTCCTCAATAGTGTGCATCCACGGTCCTGCATACGAGACTCGAGTCAAGTGCCCCCGGTCTCGCACGCGAACGCTTAACCTCTAGACCACTGAGCCGGCATCTAACGGTGTTAGTGTTCAATTTTTAGGAGAAGCCGTGACCAGTGGAGTTCAACCTTGTCTTTTGCAAAACAGGTACTCACTGAAGACAGTGGCAGACAGTGGATAGAATAAATGTATTCAAATGAAAAACCACAGATAGAAAAACGCATTTTCCTAATATTTTTACAAATTAAAGGTGAAGCGCCCAGAAAAGTGTTAGTTCATATGTTACTCTAGACGTTCATGGAAACTTTAAGATAGGAAGGCTATAATCAATGTGCTTTTATGAATCCATTGAGAATCCGAACTGAATGATAAGTTACCGAAACTGATCACATGTCTAAATTGTTCATGTGAAGCAAGTTAGACAGGCTGCTGTTTTCTTGAGTGTGAGGTTTCATGTTTTCTAATGTTAAACTAGTGGTATTCGATAACTATGATCAACTTTGCAAAAATACGAAGAATTTCTAGATGGTTTTCTAAACAGATGGACCTCGTTTGGAGTTTCACTGAAAACCAAAAAGCTATGGGTAGCTGCTCCGTTCTAGTTTGGGGCCCTTAAAGAATGCTCATATCTGGCACGGCCGAGGATTAAACCCAAAATCTTTAGTTGCCACCAGGATGGATTGACCACACGGTCGTAATTTACTTATCATAACTAGGATGCTAATCATCCCAAATCAAAAACTAAGTGAAGATGAAAATGTATACCAAAGGTGTTTGAGTGTTCCCATTTATCCCAGGACTGCAATTGATTAGTCTCTTTTTGGCATGTGCGAGTTGCCTCGATATTTGGTCAAGTCACAAGCATTATAAGCAGAGATAATGGTGGTTAACAGTGAAATTCAGGACGCACGTTCCGTCCAATTTAAGACTCATCATCTGGATGTACTTGCAGCCCAAAATTGATGTTTACTCCGGGACTCCAACCTAGTACCATTCACTTCAGTCGCCATCAAGTTATCTACTTAGCTACTGAGACCAGTTATCTACTAGCTTGTGTAACTAAATAAAATTTCAATCCACTTTGTATTGGTTGTTTAAATCTTCCACTAATCTCAGGACTTCAGATGGTCAGTCTCTTATTGGCATATGTGCATCTTGTACGTATTGCATCAATACTGCCTGAAGTCACAAGTATTGTAAACAGAGATAACTGTGGCTGACAGTGAAATCCAGGACGCGCGTTTTATCCTATTTGGGACTCTTCAGCTGGATTTTATTTACTTTACTTACGCCTGTTACTCCAAACAGGGCATAGGCCTTTTTTTTGGTGGAGTTTTGTTCTCTCTCCACCAAAATCATCCACCTGAGCTACAAATCTTCTCCACCATCACAAGGGCATAGGCCGCCGACCAGCATTCTCCAACCCACTCTGTCCTGGGCCTTCCATCCAATTCTTGTTCATTTTTCTCATGTTTATCTCCATTTCACGGCGTAATGTGTTCTTTGGTCTTCCTCTTCTCCTCCTTTGGCCTTGATGATTCCATGTGGGGGCCTGCCTTGTGACACAGTTCGGTGCTTTCCTCAATGTGTGTCCTATCCACTTCCTGCGCCTCTTCCTGATTTCTTCCTCCGCTGGAATCTGGTTTGTTCCCTCCCACAGCACCTTGCTGCTAATAGTATCCGGCCAATAGATCTGAAGTATTTTGCGTAGACAACTGTTAATAAACACCTGTATTTTCTGGATGATGACTTTCGTAGTTCTCCAGGTTTCTGCCCCATACAGTAGAACTGTCTTGACATTTGTATTGAAGATCCTGACCTTGGTGTTGGTTGACAGTTGTTTTGAGTTCCAGATATCCTCCAGTTGTAAATATACTGTTCTCGCTTTACCGATCCGCGCTTTCACATCTGCATCAGATCTACCATGTTCATCAATGATGCTGCCCAGATATGTAAAGGTTCTTACATTTTCCAAATCTTCTCCGTCAACTGTGATTGGATTGGTGCATTCTGTGTTGTATCGGAGAATCTTGCTTTTCCCTTTGTGTATATTAAGACCTACTGCTGCTGAGACTGCTGCTACACTGGTCGTCTTCTCCTGCATCTGTTGTTGCGTTTGGGATAGAAGAACCAGATCATCTGCGAAGTCTAGATCGTCCAACTGCATCCTAGATGTCCATTGTATCCTGCGCTTCCCTTCAGATGTTGACGTCTTCATGATCCCATCAGCTCGATGCCGTATACAAAACGTACTGAAAGACATTTATTTCATACAAACGAATGCGACAGGCCACACACAAAACACAGATTTTGTAGGCACTGATAACTTTATATATTGTACGTTGTTTGATGAGTGGATTTATGTAAAGATTTGTTGCGTAGTAAAGTAAAGTACGTATATGAATAATCAAATTGACTAAAACAGATTTACTTTATTAACTACATAATCAATTGAAACCTTTGTTCGACATAAACATTGATAGGCTGAATTTTACATTTTTTTCAAGAAGTTTTTCTAAATAAATTGCACTTTCGTAATATTGCTGGACTCCTCGGCACTGCGCATCCACGATCCCACTCGCAGGATTCGAACCCAGGGCCTACTTGGCCACTGAGCCGCCATCGAACGGTGTTAATGTCTAACCTCAACCAATCCACGAAATTGCTCGACTATCTTCCATTGTCTGAGGTAGACACCTGTCTCTACCCGACACAGGATAACTCCACTGATCATGGATGCGCACTGCTGAAGAATCCCACAATAGGATGAAACAGCCGTCCAGTACTTCAAGGTTTTCAATGGTGGTCTTACGTCAATCGGTTGAAGATCTCAATCAATAACGAAATAATCTCCGCAACCCTATACTGAAAATTATACTTTATCAAAGTTTTACAATAGATCAGACGTCATAAGTATCTATGAATACCTTCACTATAGATCTTACCTTTTTTTGTTTAAACAGAATTCAGAGAGTAAATTCTTTCAAATCAAACTATGAAAATATTCATGTAGGTATTTGATCAGTTTACAAAATCTTCAATTAATCATATTGATAATACTCTTGAACAATTCTGTAAATAAATTCATACATGAAATCAGTTATTTCGGAAAAAAAAGTAATTAACTAATTGAAAGACAAAAATGACAACTTTCATCTCATATAG